CAGTGACAAATATTTCATGCATGTTCAGGAAAACACGAGTTTAAAAGTCAAGTATATATTATAAAAATAAGGAGATGTAGTATGATTGCCAATGGGGCAACTATCCACCCAAGTTCAAATGAAGTGGATGTAAGCAATTATAGGCAACCGTGCGGCCTTCAACAATGACAAAAAACCCATACCGTATAGTCGGCTATAAAAGGCCCTGACATGAAAAATGTGAAACAATTCAAACAAGAAAACTAAATGCCTCATTCTATATAACAAAACAATTTACAAAAAATCAAATATGAGTCGACAGACAACCACTGACTTCAGGTTCCTGACTTGGGACAGGCACATAAAGAATATGGCAGGGTTAAACATGTTTGTGAGCGCTCAACCCTCCCCTAAACTGGGACAGTGGTGTTACAGTAGAACAATATGAATATGTTAAGAGGGCTTAAGTTCAAAGCGGACAGGAAAACGCTTGAAGTCATGTATTTTTCATATGTTCGACCTATTTTAGAGTATGCCGATGTAATCTGGGATAATTGTCCAGAATATTTGAAAGATCGACTGGAAAAAATTGATTATGAGGTAGCACGTATAGTTACTGGGTCTACTATAAGTTAACAAGTCTACAAATTCTTCTAAAAGAGACCGGGTGGGAAACTCTCAGGGAAAGGCGAAAAAAATCACAAGCTTATTTTGTTTCATCAGATGGTTAACAATAACTCTCTAGCCTATCTTTCAAATTTAGTCCCTACCAACTTTGGCCAATCACATCCGTATGGTACACGTAACGCAGGAAACGTGCCTCACATACCTGCACGAACGAATTATTATCATAACAGTTTTTTTCCCTTCTACTGTCCGTCTTTGGAACGAGATTCCGATTAACATTAGAAATTCTTCCTTATATATTTTTAAGAAGTATTTGAAGAAAACTTGGGTTGTCCCAAAATGTTTTTACAGTGGTAGTAGACTAGGACAAATTTTGCATACTAGAATTAGAACTGAGAGCAGTGGTCTGAATAAACATTTGTATAGGAAAAATTTAGTTACTGATCCTTTTTGTAAATGTAGACAGATTGAAACATCTAAACACTTTTTATTGCGTTGTCCGCAATATCAATTACTTAGAGAGTTTATGCTAAGTAACTTGTCATGTAAGCCTAATATACATAACTTACTGTATGCTAATCCTTTGATATCCGACATTGAGAATACTGATAACTTTCTTATTATTCAAGATTTTATTCTTAAAACAAAGAGATTCGTGTGAATTTCATATACATACATTGAGATATATAATTATGTATAAATTAAATTGTCGTTAATTTATATTGATATTACCTGTGTAGTTTGGTAGCACTGTAGATCAGTAGTGGATTTGGTCAACAAATACTTATTTCAGTTAAAAAAATATTTTTGACGCCATCCATCAATTATTATATCATATGGGAGAGGAATTTGTAAAAGTGAAAACTCACTTGTTTTCCAATCCTAATAAAACTGTCATATTGTAATGTTTACGTTATTATTTTCAAAATAAAATATCATTTACACTAACAGTACAACATAAGAACAAACTGTAAAAATCAGTTGCAATTAGATTAACTCAAAAGATCGGTACAAGACACCAAAAACAGCTAACATTAAGACATTAGACACAAAGCACCGAAATAGGAGTATTTGCAGTTACTGTAAGTTTGTTCAAAGCTAATTACAAGTAACACTGAAATAAATCTTGTTCTCACAGACTAAAATATCAATCAGTACACAACCAACGGATTTAGTCATTAACAGTCTGAGAAACGCCGTGAACTGTGTTTACCTTGTGGTGGTCCGAAGGTTTTGACCATCGAAATTTTGCAATAGAAATAATTGTTAGGACCAGCAGATTTTCCTCAAGGACAACCAGAAAAAAAGATTTTGAGAACTCGGCGATATCTTTGCCATATACAAAAATAATCCAGTTTGGTTACTTAAAAAAATTTGATAGACAAGATGTTCTTTTCGATCATATACCAGACAAACATTGACAGAGTCGTGTACAGTTTAAGATTATTCCTGAAATTCAAATGGTCGGGGCTTTAAGTCGGATTTGTTTAGCAAAATTTAGTTAGGAAAGCCGCAACGATAACGGTAACGAAACGGTAACGAAAAAATGTCACGAACACAGCGATTTCTTCCAAACAATTTTCTTTGTTTTTACACTTATTATATGATTACATCAATGCCAAAACAGAGCACACCATTACAGTCATGTTTACAGAATCGGAACTGATGTAACTTAATTTTCTAATAAATTTCATTTATGTCATCCAACATAAAAAAAAAAGTGCTATACTCGACGGCAAATTGAATTTTTGTTTTATTGCTTCTTCTACAAAATATCTCCAGAAGAGGTCCAGATTCATTTTTTTGTTCTCTTCACCAGAAGACATTCTGGAGATGTACAGAAGAGACCGACCAATAAAACACGCCCTGGTAAAACACTATTTTAACACTATGTTGCATTGACTCATTCCTATGCTACCGCAAGCAAAGAGTCGTGGTAAATTGGACAAAATAAAACTGGTCCACCAGGCGTTAATTCTGAGGTACCTGTCCTGGGTCAGATGTTATTTAGTCTACATATTAATGATATCTTGGATAATCGGGTGTTTGGCCAGTATAGAAACATCCAAACGATCAGATGCGTAGTGTAAAATAAAGTATCTTTTTTGTCATAAAAAAAGAAAAAGAAAAAGAACAGAGAATAATGATTTTTCAGTTATCTTGGCATATATAGCACTTAAATCTTTAAAATCTACTTTTATAAATAAGTAGGTATAAGAATATGTGGTATGAGTGCCAATGAGACAACTCTCCATCCAAGTCAAAATTTATAAAAGTAAACCATTATAGGTCAAAGTATGGTCTTCAACACGGAGCCTTGGCTCACACCGAACAGCAACCTATAAAGGGCCCCAAAAAATTACTAGTGTAAAACCATTCAAACGGGAAAACCAACGCTCTATAATCTATATAAAAAAGAGAAACACTATAGAGTTACTTTCAAATTTCTTTAGTGTGAATGAATATAAATGCATGTCAATGTTAATGTTTTTAATTATAGTAATGCTCAAAACACCATACTGAATGAGGGAAATATTTTCAATTGTACTATTATAAAATAAAATTAACGGCTACTTGAATCTTTTTTTTTTAAGCGGCATGATATTCAAAGCACTGTGGACAATTTGATTTTTCTTTTAACTCTATGACATTACTACGGCTAACTTGAAAAGGGCACTGTGCAAATCTTATATCCATTTACTGATTTTTTTTTGCCAGTTTTTTTCACGCCAATTTGTATTTATTGATATAAAAGTCTAGGAGAGCATATGATAATGCTTTTCCGACGTTAATACCAACAAAGTACTTCGGTATTGTAATCGGGTGGGAATTAAAGGCTTTGTATAGTGAGGGATTTTGTCAAGATTTACATAAAAATAGTGTATTCAAGTATCTATGTCTCAGGTTTCCTTATCGGTTGTTATCCATACTTCATTGTCCCATTGGGTCTCTTACGTTTTCTTTCCATTATAGAAGAAAAGATAGACGGAAATCCAAACTCACCTATGCACAACAACACAACGAGATACATAATATACACCACATCACTAATCCTTAATTCAAAACAATTGAAAAAGAAAAAAAGAAAAAAATGATGAAAAGCATTTCCCCAAAAATGTAATTACTCCACAACCTAACTAGAATCGAGGCAAATGTCCATCTCCATCTTTTAGGCCGCATGTAGATTTTTTTTGTGTTGTTGGGTTATTGTCTTACTGACGTTTATCCAACATCTCTTTTTATTATCTTAAAGTTTTTTTGTTTTTTTTTGGAAAATAATAAAAAGTCAAACAGACTATAGTGAATCGCACGAACGACGTACGTTCGTGGTCTCAACAGGGGCGTAATTACCCGGAGGCATCACAGCACGTGCATCCACGTCGTTTTCACCAACAACAAAAGAGAGAGAGAGAGACGGACAAAGTCTGTGGTTAAATATTCCAATGTCTTTGCCGTCAACCAATTAATTGTATGTTAAGTGTCAAATTGATCCAATTATTTGGATATATTTTACACCGAAGACTTCTCAATATATTCAAAGGTTACATAATATTATGAGTTGTCGGATTAATAATCTTTTATAAATACTTTTTTTTTAATATTAACTTATGGTAATATATTTTTCTTCAGTTTAATACTGGTTGCTGAAAAAGTAGATCAAATGAGAAAAATCAATAATTTTTATAATATGATTATTATGAAATTGAATGCATCTACTTTTTAAAATATTAAATATTTTAATTAAAATATTAACTTAACGTCCCGAATATATATAGGTGAAAAATATGCTTTTAGTTCAAGTTATAAAAACTTTCTTTTAAATGGACAATAACTATATTTGAATGATTAGACAAGTATGGAATCATGTATTATCTTGTTTCTGCGGAAAATGAAATATGTTACAATTTTTTTTTCTTTCTTAAAAAATGAATAATTAGAGAAAAAACATGCTCGCACTTGCTCCGGAGTTATGTGCCCTTAGTGGAGAATGTTCGTTCTTTTCCGTACTACTGACCGGAAATAATTGGGAATTCCGTGTTCTTTTACATTTTGAAAGGGTTATCATCTACAAAATGCATTTAATCGGCTTTCAAAAGAGTGTTTTGATCATATTAAACGATAATGTACCAAAAAATCTCAACATATAATGTAATGCAGAGCGGGGAATCCCTACATGACGTATCCACGGAAATTTTTATATATGGCGGCGCGAATTCTATTTAAGTCACGTGATCAAATGATATTGTGAGACCATTTCCAGGTAAAATTGGGGCTCCCGATAAAAACTGACCCTTTTGTCGTTTCTTTGACAACTAAGAACATATATCAATTCACATGACACTGTATCGCTAAGTCTTTTATCCTAGGGAATGACATTTGTTCGATTTTTCATTGTCTAATTTATTTTGCGTGTGCGAATGACGAAGGAAATCCAGCATGGCGTCACATGGTTTCCTCTTTGGTTACTAATCAAATCTACTGGTAAATCTTTTATTAACGGAACATTTAATCTTGGGATCATTAAATGACATTTCCCCCCTCAGATTCTATTATGTTTATTGAAAATATATTTTATTTCTTGTTTAAATGACATTGAAAATACTTCCCGTTTCGGATGTCAACACGAACTAGACTATACGCGACCAGACGATCGCTTCAGAATCGTACAGTTTAAAGACTTGTTGCCTATTAAAACTGTTGAATGTGAAATTTAGAAACATTAGATAGCAAAGATAAAGCATTTATTAACTGTTGACTTCAATTTTTGTCTTAACTTTTGGATTTCTATCATTTTGTTAAATGCCTTTTTTATTTGGAATTCCCAGAATACTATTTCACTCTGAACAATGCATCATTGTCATGTACGATAGTTGCTTTATTTTAAAGCTATAAATTATTGTTATTAACAAATATATTTCTGTTTGAAAATCATGCTGCACTCTGTACATTACGGTCGGGTTTGGATCTGTCAACCTTGAATTGATCACAGATAATTTATTAAAATATACAGTAATAGTTTCATTTGAATATGCTACACCCCTAATAAACATGACAAACAAAAACATTTTATCGTAAAACAATACAAACAGCAAACTATTTCATAATTGAACTGTAACATCCTGGTATGTCGCATCATTTTTGAAGCAACCAAATTGAAATATAAAAATACTGTTGATCAGTGTTCCAGCTTGATCGTTTTCACAGGGCGGTCTGCAGCCCTTTCCCGACTGACGCCCTGTGACCTTTTTAAGATGCCCTGCCCTTTTTCGCAAGTCCATGCCTTTATTGTATCCATGGATGTTTTTGTAGTTTCGCCAATTGAACAAAATTGTTTTCCCCCGAACAGTTCTAATTTTAATTTCATAATTTCTCAAATGATCACTATTTGCACCTCGTTTGATGTAGTTTAGTCATATGACGTATTTTTGTCACATTTTATATAACTTTTCATCAAAATCTTTCGACAATTTTGGATTATCAAGATAAAACTTTATTCCAAACGTTCAAAAATATTTTCACAAGACAGACAGGTGCTTTCTTTATCATGTACTGCGCATGCGTGAACGTATTCTTATAGATTTAATAGACACTAAAACGTAAAATACAAAATCATTTAGTATTAAATTAAAAGATGATTGTACGACTACAGCGTATGCAGAGATGAAGATAAAAAAAAATTCTGTCCGACATTGGGTCCTGCATGTAAGACAGTTTTGCAGGTCCTGTCAACGGTTTGCCAAACCTACTTTTAAAAAAACCAACTAAATAGTTCTAGTTGGATTAAGATATGCCTTAAAACCTTGACTTGAACGACCAGGTAAAAGATATGACAATGGGGTGGTTTAATGAATGAGACCACATTCGATTTAAATTATCCTGCAACATCAAATAAATTAAATGATAATGTTGTACTACACTTGCCAACAAGACAACTATCCATTAACTTTATGGATAGTTGTCTTATTGGCCTTAGAAAAATTAGATAAAAAACAAAGAAAGTGGCAAGCTACATTTACTTCAAAACGAATATATGTGTTCACTCAACTAAAATGAAAAAAAAATCTTTTTAAAACTAAAATAATACTTGAATGATTTTGTTTAATTTTATTTACGTAAATCTGGTCATTAGTTTTCCCTTATTAGAACTTTTGGTTTCCAATGCTTTTCAACTACATAATTGAATTGGCCTTTCATTGTTCCAACTGAATATGGAGACGAAACCTGTGTTTGTCGTAAGAAAAAGTTTCGTTAAGGTGCGAATGGAACGCATGGTTTTCTGTCTGGACGCGTCATTGCATGAACCTGTGCGTCTGTGGGATGGTCTTGATAACACTAGCTGAGCCTTGTTATCATCATTATTATCCCTCAGCTATCAAAAAGAAGCTGAAAACATGCTTCTATTCAACATTTTTACTGGAAATTTACTTTCGTTTTCATTCATTGCTATGTGTAATGATAAATCCAGAGAAATACGAAAAATGACTTACGCTAATTGGATAAACGCAGAGAAGATTGAAATCTGTTTACATTAGCATGTTTACCTATTACTGGTAATAAATGTGTCATTAGATCTTTTGGTTTTCAATGTTTTTTTAACTACATAATTGATTTGGAATCCAAGGTAACCAGGAGCAACAGAAATTTTAATTTTGACAGCCCCAAACAGTAGAAATATTTGCTGGTCATTAGGTCTGACACAAAGACGTCATTTACCGGACCCTCTAAAATTCTGCCCCCTAGGTCCAACAGGGTAGACAATTAGCTGCATCTCTGCATATGACTATTCAGTTGGTCGAGAATAGTCTTACAACAGCTTTCCTTCTGTTAATACCTTAATTTTGGTCATATAAAAATTGAGAACAGTTGATAGAGGTAGTTTCAACAAAGCATAATGAGCTGTCAGATTGTTATTTTCTGACCTATTGCTAAATTAGGACGACAATGAAACACCTTTCCTGAGATATAATTAATATGTTACAGGTAAACTTATGTTTTTAGTATTAAATATAAATCTCTTACCATAACATAGTTTACATCTCAATTAAGGGTGTCCTAAAACTCCAGTCTGAGTAAAAATAATCCTAAATCTAACTTTGCAGGACATTCATTGAATCTTTACACTAAAAATATTAACTGACCAACAGCATATTTTTTTTCTTAGTTAATAGTTTATACTAATAATAATAATGTAGGACAGGATAAAAAATATAATGTTTGATTCTATGATTGAAGTCTCAGTCTGCACCAAAATCTTTTTCAACTTCTAGTCCGAAGACCAATATTCAGATATTTTTCTTATGTGTCTGAAAAAATTTTGCAAATACTTACTAGTCAGGGGCATCGGACTATTGGCTAATGGTGCAGACTTAAGTCTCTTATTTCATAAGCATAGGGTCGAAGAAGTTTTTGAAGAAATTACATTTGTCCAATTTTAGGAATTTTCCAAGATTTTCTTTTGGTACAATTATATGCACTATGCTTATCATAGAGGTCAGCTAATAAGTAACCCGAAAAAAATCAGTCCCTCCCCGTAATCAATCTCTCCTACCTGCGAGGGCCTGAATTCCTAACACGATAAAAACTCTTCACAAATCCTGGATTTTGATTGTTTCCCTGTAGAAGAGGTGACCAATCAGCAATCGGCTGAATTTTATCGAGATAGGTAAATCCCGAGCTAATTCCGAATGATTGATTGAAGAATTTTCATTGTCTATGCATTCAGGCGTTAATGAAGTAATCGTAGATCAGCGGAATATGACGACTGAATTATTCGTGTTAGCTAATGAGGGGCTATTTTTATCTTTATGTTTTATTCTATTATACACATGTTAACATTTTCCTGATTGGCTGAAGATATGCCATAGAGGTATAGTTTTGTACATAAAGTAGCCAATCTTTAATTTATGTTTATTTATTTTCAGTATCTAAATTTGTATATAGTGTTGTGTAAATAAGTGTACAGGATGAGTGCTGCGGTGGCTTCATCGCGTGGGAACACAAGACCCATGAAAGAAAAACATGGAAAATCAACCCCACAGACACAAACAAAATCAGAAGGACCTCCTCAGAAAGTACAGGCAAGTGTTTCTCCCGATAAGGATTAAGGTCACATGAAAAATACATGAACACATTTTCTTTAAATTTAATAGCTTTTGTTACTTTAATAAAGGATATTGATTCTGTTTTACCATTTATTGTAGTACATGCAAGTCACAACAAGAAAATATAGATTGCAGTGATCATTAATTGCAGTGAAATATGATGACATTTGAATCTCAAAAGCTTTTGGTTTCAGAAAAGTTAAATTTTTTTAATTTTTAAATCATTACCTCTATTTATTCAGTCTTAAAAAGTTATGATTTAGTTTTCCCTCCACACAGCTTGCGTGAGGATTCCAGATCATTGCTTTATAAAGGCATCAAAACAAAGTATGTGTCACCCTTCGATGTTCAGGAGGTCATATGTTGTCTTGTTCTTTTATCAATGACCCATCTGCCATCAAATATTTAAAGCAGCCTGCATGGTCTCCTAGTAGCATGGTTTTACTTTGGAAGGTCGTGTTTTAGGTCAATGTGACATTATGGCTGCTTATCAACCAAACAGAGAATTTACGTATATGAGCAAAGACGGGTCAGATGGAATAACACACATGGTACCTTGGTTTGGTAACATAATTACCTACAGACTTGCATTTGGTTTGTGGGCTTACATTAAAAATTAGACTCTGGTTATTGGTCTAGTACAATGAAGAGTTGATTCATGTCCTGGTATGACCTTTAATATGTATATATTTACCACTTGAGTGTAAATAGTCCTTTACATAAAAATATACAACAATGCATTGTACATAACATTTTGTTGATAATGTTTATATTTTCATAACAATTTAGGCTACTCCTGAACAGATAAGACTGGCTCAGTTGACAAATGATGCAAATTCATTAGATGAATCAGCATTTAGACAGAAGGTGAAACAGGTATGTTTTATATTATTTGTTAGCCATAGTTTCAAAAAGTTTTCTTTTTAAAGAGTATATGAAAAGTACTTGCAGAATATTGCAAAGGGACAAGAAAATTGTAAGGATTGATGTTTTAGTTTGATAGTAGTTAGAGATTTTAAGTCTGAAAATAATGTCTACATGTGAAAAGTTATCACTTATAATCTTTTATAACTCAAATGGTCTTTTTTCCTATCTTTGTTGGTACAATATCCTCAAAAAAAGTTATCAATTGTTGATAAAAGGTAAAAGGTCAGTTTATTCCACTCAAAGTAAAAGATAGACAGAAAAAAAGTCTTGTTTATAAAAATTTGCATCTTTTAGATCTAAATTAGTGGTTTTCTGATATGATAGGTTGTCACATTGATTGGTCTTGTTTTATCACATGCTGTGTGATTTGTAAAGGAACCATGAAAAAGCAATAAATTTTCATCTGGAGGTGAACTGATCACAACTTTTATGTCATAAAGGTGAAAGTGAATTTTGATATGTGATCTCCATTTTACAGGTGATCGATGTAACAGGTATTACAGATCAAACAGAAGTAGAAATAGCTTTACAAGATTGTGGCAATGATACAGAGAGAGCCATTAATATGTTGTTAGAGGGCAACACAGTACAGGTAATTTACTCATTATTATGTATTAAAATATGCAAGGTATATAAGGACTGAAACACTGTCTGATAAGATTTTGTTTTCTGATTTCGTAAAAATACTTTGAAAATATGTAAATCTTGCTGAAGATTTTTGTCATAGGTTTATATATTTTCCTACCAAAAATATGCTAAGCTGTTGTTTTCTTTCCTGGTTACTTGGAGGAAAATGGAACCTACATCAAGTTGCTTCCATTTGTAGAAAACCAGGTGATAAAGAAAAGTGAGGATTATACATAATAGATTTGAAGTTTAGGAACAATTATTTTAAATAAAATTTTCAGTTTTAAGTAAAGAAAAAACAGCCTCTTTATGTAAGGATAGACAAGAGGAAGTTAATTTACACGCCAAATTCATGATTGGTGTGTGTTAAAAGGGTGATATCCAAACTACAAAGAGTTTGAGCGCTGTGTTAAGCTTATCGTTACTTATTGATAAGCCACTTATGCTGGATTTATTCTTAATAAAAGAATATATAATTGAAAAGGGAGAATGGAAAGAACCTGGAAAGAAAAAGAAGAAGCCCACACCTGCTCCTGCTAAAACAGAACCTACAACAAATCATGTGGATGAAAAAACAGAAGAACCTGAACAGACTCCAGAGCGAGAGAAAGTCCCAGACAAAGATCGATCAGAGAATATTTCCCGAAGAGGAAGGCGGTTTGACAACAGATATGATAGCAGACCACCACGTTTAGCAGCCAGAGGAAGAGGGAGAGACAGACCAAACAGAGAAAACAATGACAATGATGCTGGTGAATTTGGTGGTACATTTGGGCAAGACAAAGGGTTTGACAGTAGAGGACGTGGCAGAGGTAGAGGTGGGAGAGGTAATTACAATTTATGAATTAATTACTTGTTATATTGTTAACTATTCAATGAAAAAAATTAGATAGTTGTATTTTGCATTAAAGTTAAAAAAAACCAACTACCTACTAAGAATAAAAGAGATGGCTAAACAAAACTGATACAGCTAACCAACAATACTGGTTTAAAAAAATAGACATCTAAAGGCCAGCCTATTGGTTAAAAAAAACCACCAACTGTATGTTATGTTAATTTACCTGATGTTAATTTCCCTGTTGTCAATAAATGGTTGATTCGACAATGGTCAAAGGCAGTACATCTGCTATAGGAATGTATGCCTCAAATCACTGTCAATCACCTTCAGATAAAAATTCCTTGAAAGACTTGTTGGTTTTCAATTGTTTCCAGTTCTTTCAAAATAGAGTCAACTTAAAATAAGTTTTTGGGTAAAGATTGCATGAAATGCAATCAAAACTCTATGGTACTGACTTGATATCTATATCTTCCAGAGTTTATCACTACCTTTGATAGTTCAAATAAAAAAGTGCAGTGAGGTGATCATTATTTAAATCCTATCCAGTCAATGTCATGCAATTTTGATATTTAAGTTACAATATGATGTGTATTAGAAATACCATACTTGTCAAGAAAACATTTTTTTATTAAAAATTACATAAGTAATGCATGGTGTATGAATCTGTTATGAAAATAGGTTCACCTACAAATGTACAATCATGAACAAAGGAAGATAACTCCAAACTCAAAATTTTAATTTGCCTAGCAAAATACAATTCAATGTTTTATTTAAAAATTCACAAAATTGCAAAATGTAAGCAATCTTTACCCTTCATTGCTCACAAGCACTTTGATTAAAACAAAGTCATGTATCTGAGATAATGACTTGTAAACTGTAAAGATTTTCCTTGTCAGATCAAAAAATATTATTTTGTGTTCTACATGTTGTGTCCATAAATATAATTGTTTTTAAACTCTCCAGTCAAGTAAAAAACTACATATACTTTATTAATATGTCACATTAATATGTAATGAACCTGGATATGCATACAGTATTTTCTGCATGATGTTGAAGGGACTTTCAATCAATCAGTCTATAGAAAGTTTTCTTTTGTAGGTGGTTCAAGAAGAGGAAGAGGAAGGTATAATTTTTTGATTTATGATAATTGTCATACTCTTAATTAGTTTTAAGAACAAGGGGTGAATGATTTTGAAGGGAAAAAAATACCACATTTTGGTGACTATATAATCTGTTGATATGACATGCACCCCCTCTTTTACCCTTGAAAATAGACACAAAAGTTTCTGTGTATATATAGCATACGAAATCTTGAAATCAGTACTAGACAAACAGTAACTTTATAAGTAGCAAAACAAGACAAGATCACGAATAATATTTTTATGGCAGAAATCATCAGTCGATGTCTGAAAGGAGTTATCGTCCCTAATTGACTAGTTATACCAATTGCTTTTGTTTTTGTCTATTATCTTGAAAACAATACTACTGGCTTTCTCAGAAACATACTACATGGTAAAATTTTGCAGTTTATACGCTGTATTCTTGTTTTCAGGGTTTTCAATAAAATTATAGATTTATAGTTGGTTCTCATAAATAGTTCCTATAAATGGTCAGGATTACTATGTGTTATAGTATGTATAATATTGTCTGTTTGCAGGAGTTTTAATGCACAACCCCCAAGAGAGAGACAGCCACCTAAATTTGACAAGGGACCACAAATAGACACATGGACCAATGAAACAGCTGCAAATGCAGAGAAAGAAAATGCCACTGGTAAGTTTGATAAACTTGTTCAGATGTTTCCAATGGAGAACATTGAATTGCAGACATTTGAAAAAAAATTTAGACACTGTTGCCTGATAACAAAGGGATTGTTTTCTCTCAAAAACTCAAAAAAAAAATATGGTTTCAAATAATGAATATATTTTTTTTTGTATTTAATATTTTTCTGAAACAAATAACAGAAAATTGTTGGTAGTTTCTGATACGGTTTTGAAATTGGGATTTGAAATTGTACAGCACTGCAGACAGCTTTAGTCTATAACTTCATACATGTATTTTATATATTTTAAGGTCCCTGGGGAGATGGAATAGAAGACTGGAGTGAGGATACATGGCAAGGCAATGTAAGTATTGAATTGTACAGTTCATTGGATGGCAGTGATGCTTAATTTACCCTCCTTTTAGCTAACTGTCTGCTTGCTCAGAATTAATTGTATTCTTTTGTATTTCAATGGGGTTTCAGTCGAAATATGAGCCATCATTGCCTTTTGAGGTGAAAACTATTAGTTTTACTCCTCTAGTATCAATTCATATAAAATATGAGGCAAAGCAACACTACTATACATGTAAAAATGCTTACTGCAGCTATTGGTTTTGGTAAAATTAAATCGTAATTGTGAGCTGTATATATATATGTATATACTTGCATATATAGAAAAAAAACTAGTTTTAGAATAATCATACATTTGTATATATGTTTATTAAGGCAACTAAAAAAACATGATATAATTCACAATAATCCAACTTTACATAAAGACTTCTGGAGAAAGTTTCCCATTTTGTATTTGTAAGTCAAATATTGCAGAGTTAAATCATTGGTATTAGTAAATTTAGTATGTTTCATAATATTACAGCACATTGACTTGAGTGTGTAGGTAGAGGTAGTATCTTTGGTTAGCTTGCTTGCTGGCTGAACCATGAAATCATTATTAGCAAAGTTACTGTCTTCTTTTGGGCGGAGTCAATAGTTAAGGAGGGAACCAATCAAAAGTAGGAACAATATATATTGTGAAACGAGCTTTACACCTTTACCCCTAGTAGTAGGACAACCGACCGTGCGAGACACTCATGGGTAGTTAAGGTATTTTAACACCCCCTAGTACAAGTTATTTCAAAAATATGTTTTCAGGTTGTAGGTGTGTTTGATTTGTCAATTTCATTTCAATCAGTTACCTCCTGTTCATTTATAACTATATTGTTTACATGTGTAATTCTATATAGTATTATGATTTAGTCAATTTAAAAATAAACTTTTCATATCCTAGTTATATATGTTTATATATATAATAAGGATATCATTATCCTTGATTTTGATGTGCATTTTGTTTGGGGAGTGCTACAGAAGGTGTAAAAATAAACTTAGTCGGGTCAAATCTTTGAGATGTTCCTCTCACCATGCTATTGTAAAAATGGTATTGTATTATTTTGATTAAAATCAAATTGTTAATTCATACACACCTACAATATGCTTGGGAATTAGCTTATAATTAGTCCCCTACTGACGAAGTCGAAGGGGACTTTAGGTTTGCACTCTGTCTGTCTGTCACATTGTTTTATCATGACAAGTTACTGATCAAGTTCAAATTTTGTATCGGTCTGACGATTTTGTACAGAGTTGTGGTCCTCAAATAACCAGTTTTCCACACTTTTTTTTGTCATGCTTGAAGATATTGGATTGATGATTGGTATATAGTTTTATCATAACAAGTTACAGATCAAGTTTGATTTTGTTCCGGTCTAATGATTTTGTGCAGAGTTATTGTCCTTGGGACTAAGAAAATTCACTCAAATAATCAGTTTTCTTCAACTTTTTTTCGTCATGCTTGAAGATATTGATTTGATAATTGGTATATAGTTTTATCATGACAAATTACACATCAAATTCAAATTTTGTTTCGGTTCTGATGATTTCGTGCAGAGTTATGGATTTAGAAAATTCACTCAAATAATCAATTTTCCACATTTTTTTCGTTATGCTTGAAGATATTGACTTGATATTTATTATATACTTTACACCATGACAAGTTATAGATCAAGTTAACATTTGTTCCAGTACAATGGTAGGGGACTTTGTATTGCCAGGCAATACTCACAGAATGCTTATTGACACTATATTTTGAATTTAGATTGAAAAAATATTTCTAAACTGGTTTCACAATGTTTATGCACTATCCTTACTTTTGATTAGTTCTCTACTTAACTATAATAATTTACTCCACCCATAGGAAGGTAGTAACTTAGCTAATAATGATTTCATGGTTCAGCTAGCAAGCAAGCTTACCAAAGAAATTACCTTTACCTACACACTCAAGTCATTGTGCTGTTATACCTGCATTAAATCATTGGTACAAGTAAATTTAGTATGTTTCATAATATTAATACCTGTGTTAAATCATTAGTATAAGTAAATTTAGTATGTTTCATAATATCAATACCTGCGTATAATCATTGGTAATAGTAAATTTCATGTTTCATAATATCAATACCTGTGTTAAATCATTGGTACAAGTAAATTTAGTATGTTTCATAATATCAATACTTTCAAATTTACTGATGATTTGTGAATGTTATAAGACTACATATATGTTTCAAAGTACAAAAATAAATTGGTATTTTAATCTATTCATACAAAAAATTGCTTTTGAAACTTCTATTGTGGTATCTGTATGGAGGCAAGGACTCTGAATTCATCTTACTTTTATCTTTTAAATATGTAATAACTGTGACCAAATTCTAAACGTTATTTTTAATATGTTCAGTAATAAATGTTTGCATGTCAGTCCCTTGTCTACATGAAATATGTAAACATGATATTAATAATTTCAGACACAGAAATCCCCGAATCAAATAAAGGTAGGATTACACAGTTTGTATAAACATTTAAATGGAGCTTATGTGAAGGTTATGGTGGGGAGCCTGCTTTTATTAGCCAGTCCTAGCTTTCTTTTGTATCTTATGTTTGAAAGTTTTATATCTTTTCCTTGCCTCCAATACATATAATTTGAATTATTGAAATATTTCTTTATTGGTATTTTGTACACATTACTCTTGATAGGCATGTATTACTACAATAAGTGATTGTTTTTAGATCCATCATTTAAGTATTTTTTGTTGCCTTGGTTTTCACTTTTAATTTTGTCATTTACTGCATGTACAGTAGAATACAAAATATATCGCAAGTATTCACAGTGTATGAATTTTTTTTTTAATCACATCATTTTGGTATTCTCTGCATATTGTTTGATTATTTACATATCTTCAGAAATCCTATTTTGAAAAAAAATACTGATATGAATCTTAAGGGTATTTTATAAATGTATTTTATGTAATACTAAAAACTAAAAAGAATGCTGAAAGTAGTGTTAAACACCAATACTCAATCAATCAAACCAATAAGGATTCATTTTCAGGAGACCTATAAGCAGTTTTTAATGTAAAATTTATCCAGTTGGAGAGCCATTGATTTGTTTATTAAAATGAGTGTTTGAATCAGCTTCTTTTCATAGGAATTTTCAGAATATGTCTTTTTATGTGGAAACATTTCCTGCTTAAAAAAAATTGGAAACAAAAAAGAAATCAGGAACAGTATGCTATTAAAAAAATGGAAATGAACAAAACATTATCAAAAATCAATATGGAATTTTAAAATTGTACTGGCCAATTGCTTTCCTTGACATGTCAGTAAAGGGTAACAAGTAAAATCTGGGTCTTATTAGATTTACTAATATATCACATACAAACACAAAAATCTGTATCAAAATTCATTGCATTCTGGCAACATATAAGAATTACTTAGAGAGGGGGTAGTTGTTGTCTTTATACTAAATAATGTCATATACACTTACTATATTGATGTTGGTGCGTGTAATATATATGTTGAAATGTACATGTATAGATTGAAAAGCAACACTGCACTGTAATTTAAGTATTTAATTTTGTCAAGTGCTTAACATTTTTGTACTGATCCGATAAAAGAATATATGGAGAAAACTACAATTAGACTTGGCCTAAAAATTTAGGAATAATGATAAAAAGCTCCTTTCTTGCAGACTTCTCCACCATTTTAAATGTGGTAGAGGGAAGTATTTAAATTAATATTACACAGGCTTAATTGTCAAAACAGTAAGCTCCTGTAGACAATAGTATTGAAATATTGTACATCTAGTGTTCACTATTTGCAGTATATTCAAATTTAAAAAAAAAAAAACGGAAATGTGATATTTGTTAAAAGATGGGTAAAATATATCCCTTTTCACTTTATAAAATTATTCATTACAACTTTTGGGGTGTTAATTATATATTTTGGTATACTGTAAAAATGTTATGTTCTTTTCAGTTGACAGAAACAAAGGTGTTTGAATCCTCAATACAGAATCGAGAGCCAGAGCCAATGTCTGACTCATCAAACACATTAGGACAAAGGTATTAACATTCAAGCAGTCTAAAAAAATTTCAAATGTTTAAAGAAGAGTTCCATATTCCTTTATACAGTGTCTTGAGACATCTTTAAAGGGGAACTCTTTATTTATCTGCAGCTATATATTAATGTATGTTTGGTATAAACTTGCATAAACTGAAGGCCTGCTATAAACCTTTAGGACCTTCCATTTATATATACTGTGAAATCATTTATTTTTTTCGTAGGTACAAATTTTCGTTGATTGAGGAAAATAATATTTGTATGGATATTTGATATCATGCTTTTGCAAAATTCTGCATACAAACCTATAGAAAATTTGTATCCCACGAATAATAATGGACTTGCTGTCCAGTGAAATGATGAAATTTTGAATAATAAATGTACTTGTTTGAATATTTTTAGAAATTCTTAGACTTTATCATTTAGTGTTGTTGCAGATATAAATTATCAAGGAAGTTTTAAACTCTTACAAGTCAAAGTGATGCATGTTTAAAACTTAGCTGTCCATTTTAAGAAATCTAGTTTTGACCTCCAAATTGCAGAAACTATTATTAAAATTTAAAATCAGCATGAATATTTATATTAGATAGTTCATATATAACTGCCACCAAATTTTCCTGATAAACTTTAATTGTTCAAGCAATTCTTTCGTTCAGTAATTTCGCTATATTTTACATGTACAAATTTAGCTTAATATTAAAAACTAATTCCAATTTGTGTTTTTTTTTTACAGGATAGACATTGGAGTACTTCTTCAGAAGACCACAAATGAATCTCCAGAGTCATATTTGACCCAGTATAATCAGCAAGCAACAGAGTCCATAAAAAATACAATTGGGGTGAATATTTATATTTATATTTTTGAGTTGTTTGACTGCGTTTAAATTAAAAAAAGAAAAGAAAGAAAGCACAGTTGTGTCATATGTGTTCAAAATTATATATGTTGTACATGGTTTTCTGAGGAGCTTAGCAAGGTGAAATCTGGATAGAGAAATGTATTGTTTTAATATTAAAAACTGACATGCTGAAACAAAGGTTATTTTTATGCCACTGCCGTAGCGGAGGGGGCATTAAGTTTTACCCTTGCTGAATTTTTTGTTTCTGTTCTCTTAATTAGTTATCAAAGGTACCAGGATTATAATTTAATACGCCAGACACGCGTTTTGTCTACATAAGACTCATCAGTGACGCTCAGATCAAAATAGTTATAAAGCCAAACAAGTACAAAGTTGAAGAGCATTGAGGACCCAAAATTCCAAAGTTTGCCACAACCAAATGTTATGAAACTTACGAAATGCTTATTACCACAAAACTCTGATCAATAGAAAATGAAAGGATATGGAGTAAATGTACATGGGACAAAATCGCACACAATACATAAAAAACATGGAAAATTATCAATGAACAGGGCTTTTATTCCTGTTCTTCATCTTGACAGTTGATGTAGGGTCTTCAACAATGAACCAATCAGTCATACCCTACAACAAGGTCAAGACAGCCCCTAGCATTGTCTTAAGCAGTACTATTGATAAAAATAAACCACAGTTTACTTTCTTGCTCCCCATTTGCCTCGGAGTGCCAACTTGTGCGATGCTTGTGTACAACGGTTCTCCAGTCGAAAGCAAAAGGAATACTAGAAAAGTGCAGTAATTTTGAAAGACATCGATCGCCGCTAAAATATGTACAAATTAAGGTAGCGTCACTTCTACAGTTCTTGAGTTATGTCGCTTTATAATGTTATATGCAAGCGGGGGCATTATCTGTGTCCCATGGACACATTCCCCATTTACTTTTAATTCTCTTCTACACAACAACAAAATGTGAATGAAAGATGAACTCTAGAAGATCTACATTTACAGGCAGGGAAATCTTCCACCTATTGACATGTTCTGTTTTTCTGTTTTTATTATGCCCCAGCCATAGTGGAGGTGGCATTAAGTTTTACCCTTGTCCGTTCGTACGTCCCAAAGTTGGTTTCCTTTTTCTAACTTTAGTTTGCCTCAACCAAATGTTATGAAACTTATACACAATGTTTATTACCACAAAACACAGATCAAGTTTGAATTTTGGTGGCGTCACTTTAACCGTTCTAGAGTTGTGCTCCTTTACCAATGGAAAAATTGCTGAATTTTTCGTTTCCGTTCTCTAGCTTTAGTTTGCCTCAACTGAATATATTGAAACTTATACACAATGCTTATCACCACAATAGTCCGATCAAGTTTGAATTTTGGTAGTGTCATTTTAACAGTTTTAGAGTTATGCCCGTTATGGTAAATACAGTATCCATGATTTGGTTCTTAATTCTAAATATGTGAATGACTTTTATGAAAATTTACAGAATGATAGTACATTCTAGCAGTCTGATAAGACTTATTAGTTTCAGGTTTCATTGATATATTCACTTTTGTTTTTAGATTGGTTCAGCATCCAGACAATCCTTATCCAGTCAGATGGGTGCATCTTCTTTAACCAATCATCTATCATCAGGACCATTAGGAGGCCATCAGATGGTCTCTTCATCCTTATCTAATTCCATGTCTGTTTCGTCTGCATCTTCAGCGGCAGTTGATGCATTGGTGTCGTCTTTTACTCAGAATTCCAATTTAAATACAGCGGTAGATGGAGGAATTGATTTGACAGCATTAACACAGAATTCAAGTAGGGCCAATATTGACTTGACTTCACTGTCACAAAGTCGACAGAATATGCCACTGGATTTGAATTCCTTATCTCAAAGTCGGCAAAGTGTTCCAATGTCAATGAATTCACAGACAGATTCTATATCTTCATCACAGCAGAGGCCTAAACCTCAAAGATCAAAGTTGCCACCTCCATCAAAGGTAATAGATTCCTTAATTGTAATGGGTAACAACCTCTTTGAAGGTTAATGAATACTCCAAACTTAAAATTTACACCTTAATTTAAACAAACGTTAATAAGGGCCAACATTTCACTACTTCCTTGAAAGATAGTAAATAAAACTAAGATTTTTAATTACAGAGTCCTTCATTTGTTAAAACTTCTTCATAGGTTGATGTTACTAATTCATACCTCCGCTTTAAAAAAGTGAGGGTATACTGTTTTACCTCTGTCGGTCTGTCCGTCCGTCCCATGAATGTTTTTCGTCGCATCTTTCTTAGGAACTACATTACAAGGATTTCTGAAATTTGGTTTCAGTGTTCATATGAGTCAACTATACCGTGTGATGCATTTTCAGATTCATCACTCAATAACTTCCTGTTTACCGAACACTTGCATCATTTTACACATGACATCCAAGTTGAAAATTTTCGTCCATTTTTCTCAGGAACTACATTACAAAGATTTCTGAAATTTGGTTTCAGGGTTTATATGAGTCAGCTATACCATGTCATGTGTTTTCAGATTCATCACTCAACAACTTCCTGTTTACCGTCAAGTATTTGGGTGGGGGTATCATCAGTAGCTCGCAGTTTCACTTGTTATTTCAAAGATAGTAAATATTCTTAGGTCAAAGTAACCTATTTGTTTTCAATATATTGTATTTCAAAATAACCAAATTTCTTCAAAACTGTTAAATACTTTATAAAGATGATTTTTGGATCTGTAAGACACCTTCCTGTTTTCTGCTGCTGTATTACAAGAGTGTATATGCTTAGTTACAACAACAGTTGCAATGTCTTTTTTATATTTTACAGATACCAGCTTCTGCTGTAGAGATGCCAGGACATCGTAACACAAATAAAGTAGATGTTCAGTTTGGTAGTATTGGTAGTATGGATGCTTCATCAATGTTTGGATTTGGGAATGGAGAGACTGTAGTATCCAATCTGACAAGTTCTGCCAATAACAGGTAAGGAACAAGTGTTATATCCTGTAAGATACATATATACCTTTCATGCTTGAGATTACTTTCTACCAAGATTCAGGTACTTGGTTTTAATCTCGCTTCTGAAATCAGAGCAGATTTCTGGTGGCTTATGGACATGTCATGTGTTTTTTAAGCTATCCACTTTACTACAACTACATGTACTGTAGCCTTCTTCAAAAGTTGCATTTTGGTCACCAAATTTAAGGAATGATAACAATTCATTCTATTTTTGATATCAATGATCATGGGGAGATTTTTTCCTTCATCAAATTATTTTCTTGCTTTTTTGTTAGTCATACGCTTATCAGTTTTATGTTACAATTTCTTTATCGGAAGGAGGCTTTTGCCTCAAAAAGTTGTGTCTTTACTTTGTCCATTGCCAACACAATAGACATTAGTTGAAAAAAGAAATATGACTTTTAGGGCTGAATTAACTGTACCTAATAGTTACATATTTCAAAGGACAAGGTTGTTGGCAACATAATTAACTTTCAGGCATTTTCAAATGAAAACCTGAGAAACAAGTTCATAGTTCAAGATAAAACTGCTAAATTATGACTTGATCATTATATTGTTATTTTCTGATGTGAATGACAGCTTTAGTATTAATTATTATGGAACCATCAAATTTTTTATGAATTAAATGATTTTGTAAGTAATTTAATATTCTGTTTTTTTTTTTTCAGTACACAGCAATCTGTTTTAAGCAATCATTTACCAAAAGTGAGTCAGCAACAAAATGAGTCTGTGATAACGTCATCAATGATGACACCACCACCCAGTGCTGGAACGTCTGTGATATCTGGTCAGGAGTCACCAAGGAACGCTATGTTTCATAACTCTCCATATACCACTCCAACAAAGAAAGATTCACTGTCGCAGAATCAAGTCAGTAGTGTAAGCTTCATTATTATTTTAGTTGTGTAAACAGGAATTCTTGAGTTTTATTTTATTGATTTCTCCCCTTGGATGAATGCTAGCAAAACTGAAAGATAATAAAAACTAGGAAAACAAACATTATTCCCTAGTTTTTCATTTTTCTGCAATTATGACTGATGGCTCAATTTTTTTCCCTCAAGAATTAAGAAATTATCAATTTTCCCCCAAAAAATGGGGGGGTCACAATTTATTTTACTAATTCTTTGTATATGAAATTGAGAATGGAAATGGGGAATATGTCAAAGAGACAACAATCCGACTAAAGAGCAGACAACAGCCGAAGGCCACCCATGGGTCTTCAACGCAGCAAAAAAATCCTGCACCCGGAGGTGGTCCTCAGCTGGCCCCTAAATAAAATTGTGTACTAGTTCAGTGAAAATGGATGTCACACTAAACTCCATAACATATAAATGAACTAAAATTAAAAAACAGACAAGACTAACAAAGGCCAGAGGCTCCTGACTTGGGACAGGCGCAAAAATGCGACGGAGTTAAACATGTTTTGTGAGATCTCAACCATCCCCCTATACCTCTAGCCAATGTAGAATAAAGAAACACATCGCAATACGCACAGTAAAACTCAGTTTAAAAGAAGTCTGAGTCCGATGTCAGAATAGGTAACAAAAGAAACTAAGCAAAATGACAATGATACATAAATGAACAAAGGACTACTAGCAGTTACTGACATGCCAGCTCCAGACCTCAATTAAACTGATTGAAAGATATGTCTTCATCATATGAAAATCAAGTACAATCCCTCCAGTTAGGGGTTTAGTATCATACCATCATAAAATATATGAGAAGAACATAACCCGTATCATGCCAACAACTGGTTTTAAAATAAATGTGTTTATTTCCGATGCAAAGACCCTACGAGTGAATCAATATTAATACCAAAATATGCAATCCTTAATGACTTGACAACAGTATCATAGCTATATCCTTTCCGAATAAGTCTGTTTAAAGGTTTGGTTAGCTTTTGAGGTGGATATAGTCTGAAAACAGATTTACTAAGTATTGCGCAACAGCACAGTGTATTGCACAAAGCATGAAATCTTCAATTGAATATAAATTCATATCATATAACCAATTTCAAGTTCTTTGACTACATTTATTCTGTGTCAGAAACCTATAATGTGTCAAATATTTAATTACAATCCAAATTCAGACCTGTATCAAGCTTGAATATTGTGTCCATTTTTGCCCCAACTGTTCAGGGTTGGACCTCTGCAGTCGTATCCAACTGCACTCAGCAAAGCAGTTTATTAGAATTTATTGAAATTTCTTTAACACATGGATAGGCCTTTATTTACAAACCTCACCTACAATAGTGAAGGATTATGTTTTCTGTTCTGTGCAACAGTCCAACCATCTTACTTTTAGATTAATTCAGGTTAAATTTCATGGTATTTTGTGGTCCCATCAACTTGAAACTTAGAACACATTACTACACATGATCATTATAAAGTGAAATGTTTAATATATATTCCAAATTAGGAGTTTTAATCCATATTTCATGGTTCACTAAATATGGAAATGTTACAGTGTGAGTGTGGTAGCATGGTGTCCAATGGACACACATTCTTTTTAACAATTAATGTTTAAGTCATAAGCACTAACATTTTGACCAGTATCGAGATTGTAGAACGGTGCTTTTCATATTTCAGATGAGTCCTCCAGAGCCCATACCATTTCCAACCTCTCAAACAGACAGAAAATCTAGTCCAATGATGGCCCCTCAGAGACCAGGATCAACACCAGGGTTATCACAGAGTAAGAATTATATACACCATAATTACAATACTTACCTTTGTAAGAGTTGAAGTTAAATTTGAATCCTGTAAATTAAATATAGTTTCCATTTAGGTCACAAGTCTTGATTTTGTTTTACAAAGGCTTGAAAGTTGATATTTGCTGCTTATCAGCTAAGCAGTCCACATTTAGGTGTGAGAGCCAAGGCTGGTCGACTGAGTCCAAATAATGTGTCCAGGCAGGGTGATATGTCTTCTTGTGGACTGGTACTAAGTGAACTAGCATGTTAAAAATCTGACTTAGTTTAGTCTAGTAGAAAGTTGGGTATATATTTTGATCAAAGTAAGATTTTCTCATTCTTAATTCTTAATATGCATTTGATTTGCAACTGGATGTTAAAATCCATTCATTATTTTGTTTTGTAATTATTATTCAAAAGGGAAAAACAATTTTACATGTAGTTTGAACTGTTATTAAGTACACGTAAATCTTGTTTCACTACACTAAATAGCATTGTTATTTTGTAGATTCACTGTCTACAAGCAATCCAGAATCAAATTTGGGTTCTTTTTCACAAGGTGGTTATGGAACAAGTCCGTACCAGTCACAGAAGTCAGCAATGTCAAATACTGCAGGAATGAGTGGAACAGCTGGTCTGTCTAACTCTTCTGGACTGTCTAATTCGGCAGGATTATCAAACTCTTCAGGACTACAAAGTTCTTCTGGACTTTCAAATGCAAGAGGGCTTTCAAATTCTTCAGATCTGACTAGTGCTACCAATAGAATTTCAAATTCAGCTGGGTTACCAAATAAATCTGAGTACAATTCGTCTTCTCCGCAAAGTTCTTACCAAACTCAATATCAATCTGGAGGAAACCAGTATCAGTCTAGTCAAAACCAGTTTCAAACTGGACAGAACCAATTTCCTGCTGGTCAAAACCAGTTTCATAGTGGACAGTCACAATATGGTTCATCCCAGAACCAGTATCAAAACTATGGACAGTCTGGGTCAACATTCCAAAGCCAACCAGGTTCTTTTTCAGGGAATCAGAATCATACTGCAAGCTATCAGAATAATCAGAATGGTCCTAGTTCTTATCCAAGTACACAAAGTCAAACTGGCTCATTTTCTGGTAGTAGGGGAAGTTCATTTACAAGTGGCCAAAGTCAACCCAGTTCATTCCCTGGTAGCCAGAATGCTAACTCAATATCTGGAAGTCAGAATCCCCCTGGTGCATATCCAGGATCACAAACAACATCAGAATCATTTAATTTGACTGGAAATCAAAATCAAGGAAGTGCATACAATGAAATGAAAAGCCAAGGTGGTTCTTATAGTGACCCATCAAGTCAAAGAGGGTCATACAATGATAGACAAACTCAGAGTGGTTCTTACTCAGACAGACCCAGTCAGTCTAATTCTTTTAGTGACAGACAAAGTCAGTCAGCAGGTTCTTATGGATCTGAAAGAACAAATCAAGCTGGATCATATTCAGATCGCCAGAACCAACCCAGTTCATATACAGGTGGTAGTTCATTTAGTAGTGTAACACAGGCTGCACAGAATTATAGTGCTAACCAAAGTGGACAGAGCTCCTTGTATCAAGCAGCTGTGTCAAACGCCTATCCAGGACAAAGTCAGTCTGGTTCTATTTATCATCAGGGTGGCTCTCCACAGGTGACATCTTCTTATCAGCCACAAGTTTCAACTAGTTATGGTAGAGATTCTCAGTCAGGATCATTCTCAACAAATGTTTCTCAGTCAAGTAGCAGCTACCAGCGTGATGGTAGCTCTTCAGGGACTCAGTCATCATATACATCACAAACATTTGGAGGGAATGCCCACCAAAACAGCCTACAATCCAACCTGCAGACCTCTGCTCTTTCTGCTAATAAACTCGGTGAAACATTATCTAAAATGACAGTGAAGGATACTAACATAGATTCGAGACAATCTCCATCACAGGTATATTTTATTTTTATTTATGGGGATATGTCTTTTAAAATGATGGTAAAAGAATGGTCAATAACAGTTTTGAGAACTAGTAAAACAGTTTAAATGATGTGGGATTTGAAAACAAACCTTAAGGTTTACAGTAATTGCATATAATAACCATTAAAACCATTCAACAGAAAACAAAACATTTTAATGTAAAAAAAGGATGATGTAATTTATGCTGAAGAGATGGTGTTATATTTAGGTATATATAATTTTGTACTATCAGGATGTATTGTTATAAAAAAAACGTTCTGTTGTAGATCGGTAATTGCCATGTGTTTCCATTTTGCTAAACAATTCCTTATTATGTAAATATTTATGAACATTTTAATGACCTAGTTTCTTATGGGCTATTCCAGAAAAAACAATATGGGTTAGGGGGTTGGAAGACACTTTTTTATGCCCTGCCGTATCGAAGGGGGCTTTAAGCGTTACCCTTGTCAGTCCCTTCCATACGTCCCCAAAATTGGTTTCCGTTCTCTAACTTTAGTTTGCCTCAACCAAATGTTGTAAAACTTATACACAATGCTCATTTCCACAAAACACAGATCAAGTTTGAAATTGGGTGGCGTCACTTTTACCGCTCATGAGTTATTCCCCTTTATAAACATAAAAATTGCTGTTCTCTAACTTGAGTTTGCCTCAACCAAATGTTATGAAACTTGTACACAATTCTTATAATCACAAAATGATCTTAACTATGTGAATCCTGCATCTGTATGTGGATATTGATTCATGCATATTTACAAGTAGGGGCATCTGTGGCCCATAGACACATTCTCCATTTATTTTTTATGTCCATCACCCATACAATTGCATTTTACTTTGCATACATTAACCACAGAATTTGAACTTCCTGACCTGCCCCCCACCCATACAAAAAAAATTAAAATTGCCTTCCAACCCCCATATAATTTTTCAGGGTTGGCAAAGTATTACCCGTGCGGGAAAACCCGGGATTTCCCGGGCTGGGCAATACTGGGCAATACAAATTTTTAAGCTTATTTTTACACTAAATAGTTAAGACTTGTTGTAGTTTAATAGTAGTATAGCTAAATATATACATTTCATACAGATAACCATTGAGAGTCAGTTCTAGAGGATTTAAAATTCAATTTCTTCCTTTTCTCCGCTAATTCAATGTAGGCTGAATACAAGATTTGCACATTTTAGGATACCTTGTTAATTGCCAAGCTTTGTTTCAATAATCTAACCTTTATTGCAGTGTTTCAGTGAATTGTAAATTTTTAATTGTTATACAATCATATTGCTAAATAAACACCTTAAGGGGACATGTCATGAACACTTATACAGTAGTAAAGAAAAGACAGATTATTGTTATATAAACAAATTTGTGTTCTAATCTGAATAATTACTTATTAATTAGTGATGTACATATAAATATGCTGAAACTTAGTAAACTTTTTAATCAATAAACAGATATAGTTTAAAGGTAATTTTCCTTCCATTACATATAATTACACAAAAATGTATTAATTATTTGTCATGTTTGTATTAGCTATATATATTTGAAAAAAATGCAAATTGAATTCTTAGGCTTTATTTTAACAGTTTGACAAATTTAGAAAGAATGGTGTGATAATAGATTTTTAGGTGGATTATTGAGAAAAACATTTCCCATTAATTTTGTCTTCATGTACACTAGAACAATACTTTCTCAGATTTATACACTTGTGTTACTAGAGTCTCAAACAAGTAAACTTATTTATAAATCAAATTCCTATGTCTTATTTTTATAAATACATTTGTATCTTTAAAATTCAGGCCAGTATATCATATTACCAAGTATTACCCAGTAAAACCCGGGTTTTCCCAGTATTTCCCACTGGGCTGGGCAATACTCATAAAAAACGGGTTTTTGCCAACCCTGTAATTTTTTCTGGAATAGCACTCACAAAGTATTAATTAATAAGATACTTGTATTCAATGGAAAAGTATTTATTAAATCGGTTTTGATTGTTTGATTATAACATTTCTGCAATGAGATATGTTGTAGTATTGGATAATTTAAAAATGACTGCAATGGCACATTCTAGTACAATGCCTGTTTAAAAATATTCATATAGGTCCAATTCATATTTTATACTGATTTGATATTAAAGTTCTAAAGATCAAAAGTCAAGTTAAATTGATGGATGAAACTTCTTCATGCTGGATAAAGTTGAGATTTGTTTTTTAAAAGCAAGATTTTATCAAAAAGTGAAATTCTAAAGCTACATACTAGTAGATTGAATTAAAACTATATCATTATATAATTAAAGACACAGCATAGTTATGTGTAAAAAACAAAATAAATGTCTCTGAATTCTTGCAACCATGTGCTATGTGTAGTCTATTTTTGGAAGAGAGATGGGTGGGGTTGGTGATATTTCCAAATAGGAAAAACATTGTGTTATGGGTTTCCTTCCTTATTATTTTAGGTTTGGTATGCAGTTCAGAATTTTATTTGTTCCACAATCCAAAAAATATCTTGCTTTAACCAAGTTGTTTCTATTGTTATACTTACCACTTTTCCATTTGCAATTGGTCAATGGAGGAACCACTGATGTTTAACATGTGTTGCATTTTGATGAAATTATTTGAAATTTACATGTAAAAAAAATAGATAACTTTCTCTTTATGCAAGAGATGTATATGTGCTGATTTTATTTTTCAGTACGAAAATTCTTCGTCGTCGACAACAGCAAGTTTAACATCTACAACAAATTCAACTTCCCTAATATCGACGGTGACGACTCCATCAGTTTCATCTTCATCAGCAGTAACAACAACAGTACATTCAACATCAGCTAAAGTTTCCAGTACGACTGGTACCAGTAAGTGTAAGCATATGTTGAAAATCTTCTGACTGTTGTGGCAGGTCATTTTCATATTTCTTTAGGCCAAAAAAAAAAAATATATGTGTGTTTACGGTTAACCATTTTATTTCTGTTGTGCCAATAAAATAAATTAATTGCCTGATACATCCCAATGTTCACAATCATGAATATGACAGTCGTTTTAAGGAAACTCTAGGACAACGACAAGACGGACCGCACGACTCAAAATCATGTCGCAAAAAAAAAATTGGAATACCAACCTACCTACCCTATTTTTTTCAAGTATGTAACCTTAAACAGACATATCTATATTTTTTTAGGCCTTATTGCATGATTATTGTAAATATTTTGATTACATTTACAAAGAGTAAAGTGATGAAATACAAATTATTTTATTTTGCTTTGAGGCAATATTACTGATTAGGAGATCACATTAGTTATATATTTAACAATTACATGGTAGATGGTTAAACAGCTGAGTGTTTACAATTTTCCCTTTATTCTTTTTTGTTAACTTCTAAAAACTTTTTGAATCTAAACCTATCAAATTCATATTCTGTAATTTTTCATCAACTTGATAAAGAACATGTTCCTGTCAAAATGTTTTAACTTTGTCTCGCCAGTAATGAATGGTGCGAATGAAAGAAATAGGAATGAAACTCCTGTATAAAGACCCAGTGCAAGGTATTGATGTGAATCAGACCTTGGTCATATTTTATTGTTCAATGAAACACCTGAACTTTAAGTTTTCATAAGGTCAGTTTCTCTGATACTATAAGTGATAAGTCCACTTTAATTGGTTTATAGAATGATTCTATTAAGTTGTATATGTCCTTCTGTCTGGGTTCTCACCTTCATGAGTCATAGAAAATGTTATTTTTTTTAGCTCACCTTTCCGAAGGAAATGTGAGCTTTTGCCATCACTTGGCGTCCGTCGTCGTCCGTCCGGTGTAAACTATTTCAAACATCTTCTCATTTGAAACTACTGAATCAATTCCAACCAAACTTAAGCTGAATGATCCTTAGAGTATCTAGAATAAAATTTGTGTTTTATTTTCTGTTTCGTCAAAAAAACATGGCCGCCATGGCTGAAAATAGTACATAGGGGTAAAATGCAGTTTTTGGCTTATATATCTCAAAAACTAAAGCATTTAGAGCAAATCTGACATGGGGATAAGGTGTTCATTAGGTGAAATTCTATCAGCCCTGAAATTTTCAGATGAATCTAATAACCCATTGTTGGGTTGCTGCTACTAAATTGTTAATTTTAAGGAAATTTTGCAGTTTTTGGTTATCTTGAATATTTTTATAGACAAAGATAAACTGTACACAGCAAAAATGTTCAGCAAAGTAAGACTGGGTCAAAACCAAAATTGTCAATTGACCCCTTAAGGAGTTATTGCCCTTTAAAGACAATTTTTCACAATTTGTTCATCTAGTTTGCTTACTTTAAAAAATCTTCTCATTTGAAACTGCTGAATGAGTTTCAGAGTATCTAGTATAAATTTTGTATTTGATTTCCTTGTACATCAAGAAACATAGCCACTATCGCTAAAATGGAACATAGAGGTAAAATGCATTTTTTTGCTTTTGAAGAAAATATGACAGATACAAAGGACATTTAAATGGCATTTTTAAGCCACTCATTAATATATATTGAAATTTAAAAATAATCATTGATGAAAGATTTAAGCAAAAAATTACAGGTGAGTGATTCAGACTCTTGAGAGCCTCTTGTTTGTGATACTGATAGCGGTGCCAAGACCATGATCTTATAAAATTCAATCATAATCAGTGAAGCATGCAAGACATCTCATCAATTGCAAAGTTGTTGGTATCAGAGTATTGTTTTGCTTGGTCCCATTGATGTCTACCCTTTAAAATGTTTTATTCTTACATATTATAGGTTTTTTTATACTTTTCACAGAAAACATTATGTATGCTTTTTTTTTACAGCAAGTAAAGCACCACCAAATTTGCCACCAGGTGTACCATTACTGAGCCATCAGTATATTATGGGACAGAATTTGCCATACTTTGCTGTAAGTCAGGAATATTTAGATTTGTGACTTTGCACTAAAAATAGATTGATTTTAAAGTCTATCTGAATTGATTTAGACACTGAGATAGTGATAGATGACTTCAAATGTATATACAGTAGACTCCACCTAATCGGATATCAGCTAAACGAATATATCGGCTATTGTAATAATATTTCAAAACACTAAACCCTTCCCTATATGTTTAATGTTAATTTTATCGTGTAATCGAATATTTGATATAAGAATATATCGGCAAATAGGATAAGAATATTCAGGAAATTTTTTTCAAAACCATGCGCAATCGGATTTTTTCAATGTTTTTCTGACAGGAAAGGACGTAGAACTTACACAATTACAATCTTGCAGACAAAAAAATTTTGTTTTTACTTAATAAAAGGAACTATTTCTTAATAAATTGTTGTCTTTATTATTTGTCTTCCTTTCTAATGTGAAATAGATGCCCTTTAGATTCAAATGGTTTGAATTTATTTATAAAATATATACAAGTCTTAGAGTAGTACGTTGGGAGAATTTTAATAAAACTCTTAAGTGCTCACAGAATCAGATATATAATTTAAACTGAATGTATCTCCTTCTGAATGATTTATTGCAATAAACATATAAATCCCTTTTGACAAGAGAAATCTGACTTTTGTCAGATATAATTTTGTAACATGTGCATGACCACATGTCATGGATGCCATTTTGTTTTGTTTACATAATGTGAAGAAGCCTAGAGAACCTAAACATTAACAGTCTTCAGAAAATTTAAACTTGATGCAATAATATTTTATCAATCATGATTATCTTCATTGATATTCAAATAAATTTGATTATTTAAAAAAATAAAATAAATAACAAATACAATTTCAGTTTAGAGACTGTACACAGGACATGCTGTGATCTATTTATAGCCCAATTAGCTTACCTGTGATAAATGTAAATATGGATATTAATTTGTTTACAAAACAATTAAAGACACAAACTATGGATGATAGATATTTATTCACTTAAATATTTCAGGACATTTTATTTATTTTAATAAATATAGGATTAGAAACTGAAAACAAATATGAGCATTACATAACCAGCTGATAATTTTTTACACAAACATTGTGGTGATGTATCTGATAAAAATCACTCCAGCCCTTTTATATATATAGCAGTGGTCAGGGCTAGTAACATCTTAGGATATTGCAGAATATTCCATGAATATACATTTATCGTCTAATTGAATATATCGGGTAATGGGATATTTTTTGCTGACATTTTGGGTATCTGATTTGCCGGAGTCTACTGTATTGTGATAAATAAATAGACACCTCAGTTCAAATAAAATATAGTTTTATGTGGCATCTTATACATTTATTTCCCATGCCGGAGGGAGATATGAAGATTTGTTCACCCAAGAATATTCATATTTCACGAGGGCTCTGCCTGAGGGAAATATGATTTTTCGAGGGTGAGCAAATCTTCATATCTCCAGAGGCAAAGGGAAATGAATGTTTTATTCCACTGCCTATGCTTTGTTTACTATCAATACATTTAATATTATTTTGCATACATTTTTTTTTTTATCCTCTTGTTTTTGTAAGTCAAACTAAACACGACATACCCATTGATAAACAGTAAGGATCAACATTTAATTATAAGTCTTTTTGTTTTATCGTCTGAAATAAATTTGAACATGATAATGATTTTTGCTATCGCTATTTTAAGAAGAATAAGAAGTTCAAAACGTTATGTACATTAACCGCGCGTAACGTCGCACGAAGTAATCCCGACATTTCAGAGGGGAATATGATCCTCAGAATGGAATATGAAGATTTGTTCAATGACACGTGGGATAGTCTCAACCAATCAAAAATTGATTAAACTATCAATATGTTTAAACAGTGGAATAATATATATCATTGGATGGAAACAGTACTTTTAAACATTACAACTATCATCCTTATGATGATGTTCTAGAATACAAAGTAAAATGGCCACATTTACTATAAATAGAACATTAGTTTTTGAGGAACTTAGGAAGGGGGTTTGAAATTGATAAAATCTGCTTGTAGTACCAGTTATTTTAAAATTATTCAATTCTGATTAGAATTTTACGGTATTTGAGCTTTTGATGAAATTACAATGCATTAAAACATAAAGAGTAAAAGTATAATATATAAAAACATGGTAGTCAAGGCTGCTGCAGACAATTGTTTTCAATCTGAGTTGAGGTATACAGGAAAAGCACTAAGTAAACATGGTAAAGGAAAACTGCAATTAATTGAATGAATGTTAAGAAAATGTCATATATTTTTTACCTTTAGGGATTACAACAGCCTTTGTATGGTTATGAGGATATTCAGTTGCTTCAACAGAGATTGCCCCCAATGGTAAGTAATGTCATATAGAACATGTACTATAGATGCCAACCATTACTTTATTTCCATAGTTGTCAAGATTTTCCGGACGAAATTATGGTGTCGCTGTGATCTGTCTACTAGTTTATGGATTTTGTTTTTTTCCATGAGGTGGATATACTCATTATCCTGGTATAATAACTAGTCGCTAAGAATTTTGTCTTGTTTAAGTTCCCCATGTTATAATTTTTCAGTGTCAAGAATCACTGTATCCCCATTTTATAATTCTTCAGCTTTAGAAATCACTACTAAGATGTAAAACGAAGCTTCATACATGAATGATCAAACCAATTATCTCCTTCACCTACTTCTCTCTACAAATTTTATTTTGGATAATATTGAGAGTTTAAGACCTTTGTCAAGTTTTATATTGTCTTATATTTTAACTGCATTGTATTTTGTCTCGCCTGCGATGGAAGTCGCTGTATGCAAGACATAGGATTGACTATCTGGTGGCGGCGATGAAAACTATTTGTATGAAGCTGTATATATTTCAGAAGGTAGAAGACCTGGATGCTTCATAACTTGTATGCAGATACCTTATGTTACGAAGTTTCTGTCTGTCATATGTCCATTGTCCTTGACCTCATTTTCATGGTTCAGCGACTACTTCAAAAAAAAAAGTTTTTTGTCATGTGAATTTCTCTCTTATAGTGAATAATAGGATAACTATATTTGGTATATGGGTTCCTTGCAACGTCTACATATCCATTAGACAGAGTTTACATGACCTTGACCTGATTATATGGATCAGTGATCAAGATTAAAAGTTATGTGATTAGGTCTGTTTCTCAGATACTATAAGCAGTAGGTCAAATATATGTAAGTAAGTAAGTAAGTAAATTATTTATTATAGTGACATGTGTTTTTCACAAAATATAATATAGTGAAATAAAAAACAATAATTAGAACACCCGACCCTTTGGGTCTATAAGTCACTTTAAACATTAATATCAATGGTACGACAACAAAATAAATAAATTTTATCAAAAATTTTCATATATAAAGTTTTTTCTCTTACTTAAAGCCTGCAATAGGTATTTCGCAGTTTTTCTTGGATGTTGACATAGTAAATATTGAAACTGTTCTTCATTTGATAGTATACATAAATTGTCTATTTGTGAGAAATGTTGCAGTCGCAGATTGTTGTTATATGTGGTGTATGGAATGATTGGAAGGTGCACATGTCAGTCTGGCAGGTTTCATCTGACCTTGACCTCATTTTCATGGTTCATTGGTCAATGTTAAGTTTTTTGTGTTTTGGTCAGTTTTTCAAATACTATAAGCAGTAGGTCAACTATATTTGGTGTATGGAATGATTGTAAGGTGAACATGTCTGTCTGCCAGGTATAATCTGACCTTGAACTCATTTTCATGGTTCCTTTGTCAATGTTTAATATTAGTGTTTTGGTCTGTTTTTATGCCCCCGCCGTAGCGGAGGGGGCATTAAGTTTTACCCTTGTCCATCTGTACGTACGTCCCAAAATTGGTTTCCATTCTCTAACTTTAGTTTGCCCCAACCAAATGTTATGAAACTTATACACAATGCTTATTACCACAAAACACAGATCAATTTTGAATTTTGGTGGCGTCACTTTAACCATTCTAGAGTTATGTCCCTTCACAAATGGAAAAATTGCTGAATTTTTGGTTTCCGTTCTCTAACTTTAGTTTGCCTCAACCAAATGTTATGAAACTCATACACAATGCCTATTACCACAAAATACAGATTAAGTATGAATAATGGTGATGTCACTTTAACCGTTCTAGAGTTATGCCCCTTTACAAATTGCTGAATTTTTGGTTTCCGTTCTCTAACTTTAGTTTGCCTCAACCAAATGCTATGAAACTTATACACAATGCTTATTACCACAAAATATCAAGTTTGGATTTTGGTGGCGTCACTTTTACTGTTCTAGAGTTATGCCCCTTTACAAAAGGAAAAATTGATGAATTTTTCGTTTCCGTTCTCTAACTTAAGTTTACCTCAACCAAATTTTATGAAACTTATACACAATACTTATTACCACAAAACTCAGATCAAGTTCAAATTTGGGTAGGGTCACATTCCACATTTATTTGAAATACTATAATCAGTAGGTCAACTTTATTTGGTGTATCCAATGATTGTAAGTGAACATGTTTGTCTTACAGGATTTATCTGACCTTGACCTCATTGTCATGGACCTTTAAAATGTTGAAGTTTATGTAATACTTGTTATAAAACCTTTATCTTAAAGACTTTCAACATAAAATCAATGGTCAGTAAAACAGGTGAGATATTTCAGTGTATGCACTCTTGTTATATTTTTTAATTGCATAACTTTTGTTGTATTTCAGAATTTACAAAACTTGCAGAATTATAACTATGATATGACTGCATTTGGTAATGTACCCACAACACTAAATACTGGAAGAGAACAGACATCCTTGGCTGGAAATGTACCTTATTCAGGTTTGAATATTAATTTTACAGATAACAGTTGAAAATTGGAATGTAAATTCTCTATAGCATCAGTATTAATATAAATGTTAAGCACAAATTAATTTCTTTCATGTTGTATTTATAATTTTGGAGTGGACAATGAGAATATAAAGATCAATTATAAATGGTTTACAATTTATAGAAATTAGGAAATATTGGAAGGATGCAAAATTGAGAGGAGTGAATAATATTGATTTAGATTTTTGACTTTTCAGGTACGGAAAAGTTGAATAGAGTTGAAGCACAGTCACCAATTCCCTCTACCCAGCAACAGTCAACACAATCGCATCAGCAGCATTTTATTAACTTACCATATGGATACTGTTACCCAGGAACTGTATTGCCAGGTGCTCCCACTGCCATGGGGTTCCAGTACCCACCTCAAATGTTTCCAGTAAGTTTTCATATGTAGTCAATACAATAATGTAAAATGTCTTAAGGAATAATTACATGTTAAATAGTAAGTGTTTTTTTTCACTGCCATCTCACAAAGAATTTATGCATTCATACATTCTAAAAACTTCTGAAAAACACACATTTCCACATCTGAAAGCCATTTTTTGTCTCGCCTTGACTGGAGTCAAAAAGCGAGACCTAGGTATGCTGTTTCCGGCGTCAACAATTTATTAGTTTGTGATTAGGTCTAGTTTATGGTGATTATAGATTACTTGGCCCTGCCCCCTCAGTCATGGTCTATTGACTTTGAAACTTTTGCTTAGTTTACATGTATTAGTTTGTGATTAAGTCAGTTTATGGGGAACCACTAATGGTAGGTCAATGATATTTGGTATGCAGTTGTATAAGCATTGGCATATCTCATTTCCATGGAGATTATTTGGCTCTGCCCCCTTAGTCATGGTCTATTGACTTAAGTCAATGATATTTGGTATGCAAATATTTTGGCATTTGCAAGTATCGTTTCCATGGAGATTATATAGCCCCACCCCCTCATCATGGTTCATTAACTTTGAAACTTTTACATAGTTAACAAGTTAATGTTTGTCTTTAGGTTTGTTTAAAGGGAACAACTTATAATAAGTCAATGGTATTTGGTATGCAGTTGTATTAGCATTGGCACATCTCATTTTCATGGAGATTGTTTAGCCATGTACCTTCAGTCATGGTTCATCGACTTTGAATATTTGCATAACTTATGTGATTTTAATTTCAATATTTTGCATTATCAAAATTACAAAAAGGCGAGCCATATCTCTGTGATGACAGTTTATTCAGTCTTCAGTTAATATTACAGTGATGCATAATATTAGGGATGTCAACTCGGTGAACAATTACTAATCGAGTATTCGTTGGTTTTATCGAGCAATACTCGAGTACTTGCTCGGGAATATATCTACAACACGGAAACACAAAAATACGTACTTCATATTCTATGGTTTGTTGTTCAATGGACGAAAAACCATCTACATAAGTATCTGGACAAGGAATTACAAACCATAATTAATAGCTCATTACCTACAAGTACTAATTAAGTAAAAACAATAATCAAATCAACATAATTTAATGAACACCTATTTAAAAACTAGGAAAAACCATATCAAACAATAGTATTTGGTAATCGTTAATAAAACACATTTAATGTTTACAAAGGCGTAATGATTAGAAGTTTAACTATTCACTGAGGGCCATCAGAGGATGCAACAAATTAATTTTATTTGGAAACATTTTGTGTTAGCCTAGGTGTAGCCCATATTTTCAGAGGCATTTTAAATGACAATTTAGCACAAGCATTCGAAACAAAATGTATTTTATTTACTTTTATGATTTATCAGTGATGCCTATTTAATTTTCCGGAAGAGGATCTCAAGAAGATCAATTTTATATAAAGAAAACAGGAATATTCTAACAGGAAACCTATTAGTTGAGTATTGTTTTGGTATTCAATACTCGGTACTACCGAGCGATACTCGAATACTTGAGTACTCGTTGACGTCAATACATAATATACTTTGTAATCTGTAATGGTATATTACAATTTATTTTACACACAACTTCAGTATAAGTAATAGGAATTGATTTGAGATGTCCAGAAGCATTTTTAAACCATGAAATTTTTCTTGTACCAAAATTACTGTTTAAAAAATAAAAGCTGTTCTTATACATGATGATGAGACATAAATAGGTTTAGTTTACCAAGATAATTTAAGATTAAGAATTAAAAAAGAAAGGTATATGTATGTCAAATCTAAACATGAGGATCTTTTTATAGGTGCCACCAGTGACTAACACAGGAGCTCCCCATGCTGGTACCACAGCAAATGCACAGTTCCAGAAACAGACTTATGGATCTCACACTTATGGTAGTAATAAAGGTAAGGTCACATAATTAATGTGAATCAGGATAAGACTTCAAATTCAAATGATATGAGTGACACTTAAGGCAATTTATTTGGCAGCATTAAGATAATCTTCTCAGTTTGTATGTTGAAGTTGTTCAGTGGACACTGGTTTCACTCAGAATGAGATGTCACTTAGAGAGAAATTTATATAATTTTTTCACCTTATGAAATAGAAACTTCTCCTTGATCCATTAAATTTTCGTCTGACACAGGTTGGTCAATTAATATACATGCCGCAGTGATTTGATAGCATTCAAGAATATGTGTTGTTCTGTAGTTTCAATATAGAACTGGGTTCATGGCCATTTCTGTCACATTATTAATGACACACTCTTCTGAGCCCCAGAGATGGTCTAAACTTCTCTAATCTATATTAACTATCAAATTATTCAGAACAAAATTTAGATAGAGTAAATTTGAAAAGTGAACCTAGTTTATTAATTTATTTGTAATTATCTTCCATACTTTGTGTCACACACAATTTATAATTCCAAGTTGATATACAGTATATATTTAAATGTATTGCAGCTTATGAGGACTTGGCACAGGTTACTGACTTTACCAAGTCGACCTACATCAATCAGTCCCAGAACAAAGTTACAGGAGTTTCAGGTTTGTTAAACGGTTAGCATCATGTGTAGTATGTGTATACTAAGTATATTATGTATTATACTAACATAGTTTAGAAGCCTAAATACTAAGTTCTTTTTGTAAATGTTTTACTGAAATTTATTTGGAATCTTAAGACAGCTTTTAAAACCTCAGCTTTATTTGATAAATTTTTACACCCATATAGAAGTGACCTTCATAGGGTGGCACATCAGAGAGTCTTTCATTTAATTTTACAAAGAAAGAATTGTGCCGATTTATAACTCAGCTTTTACTTTATTGACTTCATTGACACTTCTATCTTTGTAAAATGTTGAAATTTCTATATTTTTCTTCATAAAAACTTCAAATTTCACTACTAAGAATAAACATCAAAAACTTAAAATTACCATTGAGTGTGTTACTTTTGGAATAATGGATTTCTTATTATTTATAGGATCTGCTACCACAGTAACAGCTGATTTGGCAGGAACAGGACTGCCAGGTGTGTCAGGATATGGCAAAACACATTCACAGGTAAATTTAAATAATGGATACAAAATATACTGATAAATATGGGGTAGAATTTTAATACTTAACTCTTTGTTCCAATGTTTGTGTTACCTCCAAAGAGGAAAGTTACTGTGAATCTTGATGTTTTGTTACATCACATTAAAGAGTTGCAGGTTAAGTTTGTTACAGTATTTTTATACGCCCGTTTACGGGACGTATTATGGTATACCGTTGTCCGTCCGTCCGTCTGTCTGTCCGTCGTCAACATGTCGGACATTAACTCAAAAATGCTTTAACCAATTTGCATGAAACTTTGGTGAATTGTTTATATCTATTGACGTGAGCTCCCTTTCCTTTTTTATAAAATTTAGATTTTACGTTTCCGAGTTATGGGGTTTTATTCATTAAAAAAAGGGGGATTTTCCAGTTTTCGGACAATAAGTCAAGAATTCTTTCACTAACTTGCAAAAAATTGTGGTGAATTGTTTATATCTATTGACATGAGCTCCCTTTTGATTTTTATAAATTTTAGATTTTACGTTTCCGAGTTACAGGGTTTTATTCATAAAAAAAGGGGGGATTTTCCAGTTTTCGGACAAAAACTCAAAAATGCTTTCAGCAATTCTTATGAAACTTTGGTGAATTTTTTGTATGTATTGATGTAAGCTCCCTTAAGAATTTTATAAATTTTACATTTTGCATTTCTGAGTTATGGGGTTTTATTCATTAAAAAAAGGTATGATTTTCCAGTTTTCGGACAATAACTCAAAAATGCTGTCACCAATTCTCATGAAACTTTGGTGAATTGTTTATATCTATTGATGTAAGCTCCCTTTTTATTTTCATAAATTTCTAATATGATATTGAGAATTAATTAAACTTTATTTGTTTATAGTCTGACAACAGATTTACTAAGTATTGCACAACAGCAAGAAATCTTTAATTGAATATAAATTCAATTCATATAACCAATTTCAAGTTCTTTGACTACATTTATTCAGAAACCTATAATAAATGTATGTCAAATATTTAATTACAATCCAAATTCAGACCTGAATCAAGCTTGAATATTGTGTCCATTTTTTCCCCAACTGTTCAGGGTTGGACCTCTGCGGGCGTATCTCGCTGCGCTCAGTGAAGCAGTTTATTGTTTAATACGTTACAGATGTTCTTGTCTTGTACTTTAGGTGGCACCAAACGCCTTGACTAAAATTAATTTGGCTCTTTTTAATTTTCATAAAATTTTGACAAAAATATTTACTTTAATATAAAAATTTCAAAAAACTTGAACCACACACTATCGGAAAAATTTCATTGGATATATAGCAGTTTGACAAACACTAATTTTGATCATTGAGAAGGTTAATATTCATTTAACAATAGAACGTGATTAAAACTTTTAGCTGATTTTTACAGAGTTATCTCACTGTAGTGTTATGTACCACTTAAAATGGAAAACATTTTTGTTAGATCTGGCCTTGTTCAGTGAACAGTATTTTTATGCCCGTCGTAGCAGAGGGGGCATTAAGTTCCCCTTGTCCGTCTGTATGTCCGCCCGTACGTCCCAAAATTGGTTTCCGTTCTCTAACTTTAGTTTGCCTCAACCAAATGTTTTGAAACTATTACACAATGCTTATTACCAGAAAACACAGATCAAGTTTGTATTTTGGTGGCGTCACTTTTACCGTTTTAAAGTTATGCCCCTTTACAAATTGAAAAATTGCTGAATTTTACGTTTCCATTCTCTAACTTTAGTTTACCTCAATCAAATGTTATGAAACTTATACACAATGCTTATTACCACAAAACACAGATCAAGTTTGAATTTTGGTGGCGTCACTTTTACCGTTCTAGAGTTATGCCCTTTACAAATGGAAAAATTGCTGAAATATTCGTTTCTGTTCTCTAACTTTAGTTTGCCTCTACCCAATGTTATGAAACTTATGCACAATGCCAATTACCACAAAACACAGATCATGTTTGGATTTTGGTGGCGTCACTTTTACCGTTCTATAGTTATGCCCCTTTACAAATAGAAAAATTGAAGAAATTTTCGTTTCCATTCTCTAACTTAAGTTTGCCTCAACTGAATGTTATGAAACCTATAAACAATACTTATTACCACAAAACTCAGATCAAGTACAAATTTGGGTAGCGTCAATTTTACAGTTCTTGAGTTATGTCCCTTTATAACGTTATATACAAGCAGGGGCATCATCTGTGTCCATGGTCTGTGTCACATGGACACATTCCCCATTTATTTAAATATAATATATATTTCTAGACACATAATAGAAAACTTTTTTATAATAACTTGCATAAATGGTACAAGATGCAAATTGTGAGTTAATTGAGCACTAGAGAATTAATGTCACAGGTACAAATTTAAGATATAAAATTGCATTGTATCTAGTTGAAGAGATATTTGTAGTTCTAACAAAAACTGAAAAATTATTACTTAATCTCCTTAATGACAATAAAACAAATGCTAGTTATCAATAAGATATGCCTGTTCCAACTTCATGATTGGGACAGGGATTCAGTGTATTGAAAAACAGTTTATTGTTTGTACAGGGATTTGATAAACAAGGTATTCATGCTGGAACTCCTCCTCCATTTAATTTACAGCCATTTGCCACTGGAAGCCAAGCAGGAAGTCATATTGGTGCACCAACAAATCCATATGCAGCTGCTCAGTTTATTCCATTGATGACCCATCAGCCTCCATCCCAGCTCCATATGCAGGGCTTGCAGCAGGTAAATAATGTTATTAGGAAAATATTTGTTGTCAAGTGCTTTGTTGTTTGTTTATCTTGTATTATTCAATGAAATAACCTATTTACATGTATATAAAAAACAACCATTGTATGGTTTGATCTTTCATTCAAACTTAGATATAAGTGTTTTGCTGCTGTATTATCATTTTATTGAAAATGACAGTAATGACATATTAAAGGACACTAAAAAAAACAATTTTGCAGATCACTTGAAAAGAATAACATAGTAAAAGCTATACAGATGACAATAGTCAATTCTAATTATGGGCATTTGGATATTGAACAGTTGTAAAATTAATAACAGAAAAACAATGTTATACTATACATCATCTTTAAATTACTTCTGTTTCCCACTCCATGCAGTGATAGATTTGATTATTAGATAGTGATCAAGCTTAAACCATTCTTTATTTTACTCTATATTGCAATTTTCTAGTATGCATATTCATAAGTTGCTATAAACAGCATTTTTTTTTGTTCATTGTAGGATACAAGTACTGGATCCAGTGCACGCATTCACTCCCAACAGACTAGTTCACAGGCCAAGACTGTTACCCCCAAAGGATACACAAATACATATTGGGGAACCAGTTAAACATGGGAACAGATGACAACTGAGGACAGAATTGATGAATTGGCCTCTTAAATTTTGTTGTATTTTAAAATTTATTGTTGGTGTTCTGTGTCACACTGCTGGGGTTTAATATTAAATGGTTTCTGTGAGAAGTTCCCCCCTTTAATTGGTCGTTTAGTAGATTTTCGTAAGTCTTGAAGATGCTGTGAATTAATTGTAGTTATGAGAATTTTTTGCTTATTAATATTGTTATTTAATATTGGAAATGGTCTTCATTTGATGTGTAACATCATTGTATAGTATTATTCCATAGAGATCAAGCTAGTGTGTGTGCTATTGTTCACATTGTATATTGTGGGTGCCTTATGAATCCCTGTGGTGAATGGTTTTAAAGATTTCTCTCAGATTTGTCAGATTAACAGATGTGTCACCTTTTTGGTTTGAATGGAGAATTGCATTGATTGGAGCAGGAGGATAGAGAAGCAAGGTAGAACCCTGTAATTTCCATTGAAGCAAGAGGATAAATAAGCAAGGCAGAACCCTTTTATTTTCCATTGGTGCAGGATAAAAAGCAAGGCAGAACCCTATGTTTTCCAAAGACTGTAGTTAGATTCAGGGTTGTATTTAGTGAAAAAGGTTGCACTTTGTTGATGAATTTTATTGTCACGTTTCTGGTGATATATGCCCCCTTCACTCATGACAGATTTCATTTGTTTGTAAATATTTTTGTAAGTTTGAAAAATCATTAATACACAGTGTCACATGACATTTCTGAGAGAATATCAGAGGAGAAGTTAGCTTGATTACTGTTTCATATTTTTGGAGTCAATTTTTCCTTGCTGCTGTTTATTGATTTATTTTGTATCTGTATTGTACAGTTTTATGTTAAATTTTATATTTGAAATCGTAAATGAAATGATAAAAAGATAATCTATTTTATATAACTTAGCTTGCGTTAAAAGATTTGCTGAAATATATTTGTATAATAGTAGTTAAAGGCATTCTAAGAACAGTTAAAAAGGTACAAAATATTTGAATGAACAGCAGATATAGTTTTCCTTTGTTATTCGTGTGCAGATTACTTATTTGATGTTCGATGTATACCTTATTAAACTAGTGTGCATGTATATAAATTTCATTGTAATACATAGAAAAAAATCATCTATATTGTCATTGGCTAACAGTTATATTGTAGGAGAAATTTTTTGTAAATATATAAATATATATGATCAAGTATGTTAAACAACAAATTTTTGCCTTTTAAATTGGAGCATTGCGTAACGTACATTTCCTATTGTGCTCATAATAAAGAAAAAATAATTGAAATCTGATTTTGCTTATTTGTCACTACACCTGGATATTATAAGTGTTCAAAGTTCATAACATAGTAAAGAGTACCATTCAGTAGAGAACTGACCTTGTACGATTTATCATCATATTTTGTATTGTTTAAGGTTTTCAACAAGGTTTTTATGCTCCTGCCGCTAGGCGAAAGGGGGCATTAAATGTTACCATTGACAGTCTGTCCTTCCGTCGTATTTTCATTTTTGCACTCTAAAGTTTTCCTCATCCTAAATTTTATGAAACTCGTACACAATGCTATGACTCAAAACTCACCGAGTTTGAATTTGGGCAGTGAGTCACCTACCCTTCTAGAGTTATGCCCTTTATAACTTCGAAAAATTGCTAAATTTTTGTTTGTTTCCGCATGCTAACTTATGTTTGCGGCTTGCAAATGTAATAAAAGTCATACACAATGCTAAGAACCAAAGCGCGCAGAGTTTGAATTTGAGCAGTGAGTCAATTACTGTTCTAGAGTTATGCCCCTTTATAACCTGGGAAAGTTCAAAATTTTTTCATTTCCACACGCCAAGTTAAGTTTGCCTAGTGCAACTTTTATGAAATTAATACACAATACTAAAAACCAAAACTTCCAGACAGAGTTTGAATTTCAGCAGTGAATCTCTTATCGTTCTAGAGTTTGAAACGGAGATTGAAAAACAATAGAACTCTATAAAAAACTATCAGTGAAATGCTCTCAAAAAGTATTTTCACGTATTATAAGCAAGCATAAGCGAGGGCATTCGTATCCTCAGACCCATTCTTCATTTATTTCTGCTGTTGTTCTGAACAGATTTTGGAAAGGTTCAAATAATGGGTTTATTTGAAATGAACTTAATAATCTCAAATGAATTCCATGGATGCCACCAGTACCTACATGTACCACTATTATATCATGTTTCACATAGAACAGGAATTACATTAAATTTGCAATCTGCACTTAAACTGTCGGGCTAATTGATATTAAACTTATCTTAATGATGATTCTTCAAAATTATCCTATGAACCCCACTTACTAACCAACCTAGTTTGTAAGTTTTAAACACCAATGTATCTTTGCAATTACACAGCATACTGAGAACAAAATTTGTCAATTGTTTCTAAATTGTCACACATTTAGTTCATAGATGACAGCTGGATTGTTCAGGCTTCATCTCTTAAACAAAATAGCATTTTCTAAAGAAGCTTTTAATAAAACTGCATATATCAAGGGAGCAATCATAAACCAGAAGTCTTAGAAAGACCAACAACAACATTGCAATGAGTAAAAGACTGATTACCTAGGTAATATGTTTTCTTGATTATGTCAGTTTTTATTTACAGTATATGATAGACCAACTAGATTTGGTTAACTAAAGCATTGAAAAATGAACAAGCCCATCTGACAAGGTTCACCTGAATTTTGACATTATGGTTAATTCTTTGAGCTGTTTTGTGATGGGCTATTTTTTTTCTGACACTTGCTGTATGAAACATGTCTGTCATATGAGGTGTGTTTTTCATGTGTAGAAGTTTGTTTATATGTGTCTCCTGACTGACCCCACTGAGTTGTATTGATTTAATTCTAAATTACATAGGTTGGACCTAAATGTATGTTTTTTTAAATAGTTATTTTAAATGAAAAAAAAACAGGTTAATTTCAGGGGTTGTACAGTTGGCATGCTGCTTCAAACCCTTTCTTCATGACAACTTTTGTAACCATCCAACCAATCCTGAATTTTCTCATGACACATGGAGGTTACAATAAGCCAAACCCTTTCTACATGACAACTTTATAGCCATCCAACCAATCCTGAATTTTCTCATGACACATGAAGGTTAAGCCAACCCCTTTCTTCAGGAAAACTTTATAACCAACCAACCGAATCCTGAATTTTCTCATGACAATGGAAGTAAAGTTTGAATAGACAATTTTCTCTTGCATTGCAGGAGTTATTGTCCTTCATAGATAAATGGTTCTTCAAGTTGTGTTTATGCCATAACTTGAGAACCATTCAATTCTTATCAAATTCAAGTATGTTGTATCTGAGGACAAAATAGAGGTAGTTATTGATTTTGACTATTTCCACTGATGTGACCCTTAAATGATTTAAAAGTGACACTAATAAACAAAAAAAAACTTATTTGCTGGCATTTTGAATGCATCCTGTTTGTGGGTTGCAATACCCCCTTGTTGGTACAGGCGTACAAATTTTCTTGCAGAAGACACCTAACCTTGAACTCTTTTTTCCATGGTTCATTGATCACTGTTAAGATTTTATGCCCCCGCCATAGCGGAGGGGGCATTAAGTTTTACCCTTGTCCGTCTGTACGTCCGTCCCATAGTTGGTTTCCGTTCTCCAACTTTAGTTTGCCTCAACCAAATGTTTTGAAACTTATACACAATGCTTATTACTACAAAACACATATCAAGTTTGAATTTTGATGGCATCACTAAAACAGTTCTAGAGTTATGCCCCTTTATAAATGGCAAAATTGCTTTATTTTTCGTTTCCGTTCTCTAACTTGAGTTTGCCATAACCAAATTTTTATATGACCGCAAAAAAATTTTGCAGTCATATATTGGTATGACGTTGGCGTCGTCGTCCAAAGACACATTGGTTTTCGCACTCTAACTTTAGTTTAAGTAAATGGATCTCTATGAAATTTTACCATAAGGTTCAATACCACAAAAGGAAGGTTGGGATTGATTTTGGGGGTTATGGTACCAACAGTTGAGGAATTAGGGGCCAAAAATAAGCATTTTTGTAACTTCCAGACATAACTTGTGTGTTAATGTATGGATCTCTCTGACATTATACCACAAGGTTCCATATCACAAAGGGAATGCTGGGATTGATTTTGGGGGTAATTGCCTCAGCATTTTTCTAGTTTCATGACAATAACTTGTGTGTAAGTGTATGGATCTTTCTGAAATTGTACTACAAGGTCCCATATCACAAAGGGAAAGCTGGAATTGAGTTTGGGGGTAATTGCCCAAAACGTTAAGGAAAAAGGGGCCAAAAATAAGCATTTTTCTAGTTTCCAGACAATAACTTGTGTTCAAGTGTATGGATCTCTCTGAAATTGTACTGCAAGGTACCATACCACAAAGGGAAGGCTGGGATTGAGTTTGGGGGTGATGAATCATAAGGGGGTTCAAAAAAATTGGGGGAGGGATTTTTTTTTCTTTTTTTTTCTTTAAAATTTTCCATTTTAAATTGGTTATTTCTGATTTATATATAAAAGCAAATAATAATGATATGGTTTGAATAGGTAAATTCAAAATTTTTAAGTTCTTAGACCACATTCATTCTGTGTCAGAAACCTATGCTGTGTCAAATATTTAATCACAGCTTGAATGTTGTCCATACTTGCCCCAACTTCAGGGTTTGACCTCTGCGGTCGCATCAAGCTGCACCCATGCGGAGCATATACACAATGCTTATTACCACAAAATACAGATCAAGTTTGAATTTTGGTGGTGTCACTTTAACCATTCTAGAGTTATGCCCCTTTACAGATGGAACAGTTGCTTAATTTTTCGTTGTCTGTTGTCAAACTTGAGTTATCCTCAACCAAATGTTATGAAACTTATACACAATGCTTATTACCACAAAATACAGACCAAGTTTGAATTTTGGTGGTGTCACTTAAACCGTTTTAGAGTTATGCCCCTTTACAAAAGGAAAAATTGCTAAATTTTTCGTTTCAGTTCTCTAACTTAAGTTTGCCTCAACCTAATGTTAAGAAACTTACACAATACTTATTACTACAAAACTTAGATCAAGAACAAATTTGGGTAGCGTCACTTTTACCATTCTTCAGTTATGTCTGTTTATAACTTTATATGATATGCAAGTGGGGGCATCATCTGTGTCCCATGGACACATTCCCCATTTTTATGAGGTGATCGTATTAGTTGGTAAGCTATGCTTGGTTTAACTTTACACAATGATTGTAATGAATACATGTCAGTCTGATGGTGGGGATATCTGAAAACATCTTTTTCATGGTTTATTGATCAAAGTTACCTTAACATTTTTATCAGTAATAGAAGACCAAAGAATACTGACTTGTTCCTCAACAAAATGAAAAAAAAAAAACTGCAGGTCATAAACTAGTTGAATTTCCATCTGGTCCTAAAGAATTAGTTTTGGAATTCTGTAGAAATTGACAAACTGAAGTTGAAGAGATAATAATAACGCATATCTGAAAACATCTTATCATCTTTATTGTTTTAGTGATACCAATATTCAAACATCTTCAATGGCATAAAATTATATTAGGTGTTCCTTTAAAAAACATACCAGCCAACTATTGGAGGCATTTTAAAACTATAGATATTATTAAAAATACCATTCAGGTAATTTTGAAACTATAGATATGTGTTAAAAATACCCTTCAGTTAAGAACTGTCAGGTATTACAATTGCTTTTATTGGCAGATATCTAGTCAAACTGACTGCCAAGACTAAGTGTACAATGCATATTTAAGTGGAACAGTTCATCATAATTAAATGTAGTTAAAAAAAGAACACAATGACACATTGGTTTTAAAATATTACATTACCCAATACCACATTTGTATAATGCCAGCAACATGTAGTATATCATATACAATACAAGTCGCACAAATGATATTTACAAATAGAATGGTCCACTATACTGATATTTTGATGCTGAGGATGACCCAAATGATTTTATGGCATCGCCGGGTGACATTCTATGTTTTGGAGGATAGAGAGTAACATCTCCATCAGCTGGTACAAGTCTGGCAGTACTACGATAGTCTGAATTGTCAGGTGTGGAACATCTTGGCAGGGGACTATTTGACCTATTGTCCACATAGTTAAATAACGGGAATTCCCCTCCTGTAGTCTTGTTTGAATTTATGACAGTGCTATAAGGCCTACGGTGACCTGTCCTTTCCCAAGGATGTGAAAATAACTGATCTTCCATCACATGATCATGATTTAGATCGGCACCTGTATAGTCACGTTTTTTTTCCTCTTCAATGGGCTCTAAATAAGACCGTCGACTACCATTTCTTTGGAGACAATTTCCCAAGTCTTGCTGGAATGCAAATCTTTGCGGTCTCTGTTGTTGGTTATTCTTATCTTTATAAGCTTGCCATGTTATTGATGTTATATCTGAGTTAGCAAGATTTTCTATCTCTCCTCCTGAATCTGACCTATAAAACAGGAGAATATATGATTTTTAAAAATGATTGCAGTTGGTGACCATCATATTGATAGATAACTTTTTGGGGAAAACTCAACTTCATTACAGTGAAATTGTCTAACTGTCAAAAGTAATTAAAAACAAGTGTTGAAAAATATGGTTCTATGTCCCCCACTCTATCATCAAATGCATCCAAACATACTCAGTATAATATCGTAAGTTGTGTTAAAGACTTGTAATCAAATGTCTTCTACAATAGTGAAAGGTTTATGCAAGTGCGTCAATTAAAAGTCAATTTGCACAAATGTACATCATCGTAAAAGAACTATCTTTTCACTACAATTCTTTTTTCTTCAATAGAAAATATATCTTATGACTAGTCTGATTTATACCTGCTTGATATAACTGCATGGAAACAAAGCTTTATAAGTAGCCAAAAACACTGGAATATGGAAAGGATAGAAATACCAACAACAAAGGCTGATAAACCACCAACTCTGGCCAACAGGTCTAACAACTGAAAAATAAGGACACATGGTCAACTAAAATGGTGGATAAATTGTTGCTACATAGAAAATCACTGTATTGTATCAATCTCGGAGTGATCATACCAACAGCAATGTATCAACCTCGGAAGGAATGCTTTCAAATCCTTAATATATGTTCATTATGATGGTTGTTCCTTTTGGATACACTGCAATGCATCCTTCTTCCTGAGGTTTATGTTCATATTATGTCTGGTTTTCGAGTGCGTTGGAGATGTTACCCTACCATGACATATTCTGGCTTCGGGTTTACCAGTCTTTGTTATTACTAGTACTCTTAAATGCTCCGTCTTTGCAGAGAAGCAGCAACTACTAATTTTAAAGTCTATGTTACCAATTTTACTAAATGCTTGTTTTAGGTTACTTTCAATTGGGCCTTCTTTTTCAAAATTGCGGATTCTATACCGATGATATTTTCAACCTGGCAGAATTATTTCATTTAGTACAACGACTTACCGTTATGACCTGTTCCTCCTTTAATTCGTCAAATACTTCAGGTTCCAGATTAATTGTTACATAAGATAAAGATGAAGTAATGGTCGATTTGTTAAAATTCTTGTGTTGAAGAAGTGATTCCAAATGTTCTAAATGTTGACTGGATGGCCAAGGTATTGTTGAGCTTACAGTTTCATATCTTATTTCGCTGAAATAAACATGTAAGAATAAGTGGCCAAATCGTCATTTTTGTTAGCAAATGAAGGAAAACCTGGCTGACCAAAGTTTCATATCTCATTTTGTTTGTTTTGCTCACATATTGTTGTCAATATGATGGAATTCTATTCGACTGTCATACAAGTGAGAGGTTTAGCTAGCTGTAAAACCAGGTTTGATCCACCATTTTCTACATAAATGTTCTACATATATAAGGAAATGCCTGTACCAAGTCAGGAATATGACAGTTGTTTTCCATTCGTTTGATGTGTTTGAGCTTTTGATTTTGCCATTTGATAAAGGACTTTCCATTTTTAATTTTCCTTGGAGTTCGGTATTTTTGTTATTTTACTTTTCACTGAATTAAATATGTTAAGGCTATAAAATAAGTGGTACAATCGTTATTTTGTCAGTAAAATGGGAAATCCTTCCATGATCAATCATTTTAATATTCTTTAAAATCGATATGCAACTTGATTTTAAATTGGTTTATATTAACAGAGAAGTCATAAACACCATAATGTACCTGCATCCTGGCTTGCATTTGCAATCCAATAACTCCATGTTGAAGAGCTTTTCCACTACCCGGGAACAAACATCTATAATAAAAGAAATAGTATTTTATCACAAATTACCTAGGTATTACCAGAGGCATATGAATGTTGTATTTGTCTCTGTTAGTACCATAGATCCTAATATTAATACAGAATTGAAGATGTTTTTGAGATGTTTAAAATCACAAATAACGCTGTCGAATAAATATAGTTTGATTGGAAACTTGTAACTCTAAATGTCTCGAATTGTTTGACACACAAACAGATTTTTAAATGCAAAATCGTAAATTGAAACAGTAAATTGGGAGTAAACTGACGCCTTTTTCTTTTCAGAGAAGTGTTTCCTTCAATATAACTACTTACATTCAAATTTATCATTGACACGACACTGTGTGTTCTGGGTACCATCTGTATGACATTGACAGTACTTCAAGGTCAAGATATTCTTACAATTCTCTCCACATTGCTACAGAAAAAAATGTTCTTAAATTATTTGACATCATTTTGAAATGTAATGGTTCGCTCCTTTTTTTTTTATTTCAAATTCGATAATCCTGCGTTCTTATGTGAATCTCTTACTGAGGTTTAATCAAATTTTGGGGAACTCTTTTAGTTTAGGAGCGTCAAAGGAATATATTACTTAAGCTGTATTTGGCAAAACCTTTCGGAAATTTGGGTTCTCAGTGCTCTTCAACTTCGTACTTTTTCTGACATTTAAACTTTTTTGATTCGAGCGTCAATGATGAATCTTTTGTAGACGACACGTGCTCTGGCGTGCAAGATTAGAAACCAGATAACTTTGATGAGGTTTTTTTTAATACAGTTTCATTCGATATCCAATGGTCAACATGGTCTGTCCATCATGAATTTAATGTAAATGTGTAAGGTCTAGATAATTATTTGAACTTGAATGAAGATATATATATATATATTTGTTAGAAGGTTAAAAGTGAACATCTCAGCACTGCTGTTCCCCCACCCCCTGACTGGCGACAGTGGCTTAAATTTAAACGAAAGTTTGAATCTCGTGTTCGTATCTCTTTTTATCAAGTTTGCATTGTATAGTCAGTGTTGTATGTACAATAAGGGTTAATCATTTCAATTTTTAGTTCAAATTCGATAATCTTTCTTCTTATGTGAATCTGCTACCGAGGTTTAATAAAATTTTGGGGACTCTTACCGTTTAGGAAAGACAAGAGATCAAAGCAATTGAAAATCACATTTTACGTGGTATCTTTAAAAAAATGGCTAGAGTTCCTACAGACTTTGAGCATACAACAGAATACAAAAAGACTGAAACCGTGTATGACGTTTGAAATGGTAACTGAATGAAAGATGTATAACGTACATTCTTGTCTAGCAGGTTATACTGTCAGGTTGAATACAAATCTTACCTGATCAGAGCTGCCTGTCGACTCGACACAGTCTTTTTTTCTTGTAATTGAAGTTATCTGTAAAGAGAATTAAAAATATTTATTTTTTGTCTCGCCTGCGACGATATATGCTAATTCGGCGGCAGTGGAGTAAACTATTCATATAAAGCATAGTATTGTAGAAGTTAGTAGACCTGGATACTTCATGCTTTGTATAAATATGCCTTATGTGTCCATTGTCCCTGACCTCATTTTCATGGGTCAGGGACTACTTAAAAATGCTGTATAGCTTTTTGAATTGTGAATTTCTCACTTACTATGAGTAAAAGAATAATAATTGTTGGTATATGGGTATATCTTTTCAAGGTCAAATTGTCCGGCAGACAGGGTTTACTTGACCTCAACCTCATTTCATGGATCAGTGATCAAGGTTAGATCTATGCGATTATGTCTATTTCTAAAATACCCAAGCAGTAAGTTTGTTTGTTTTGGTCTGTTTCTCAGATGTAATAAGCAATAGGTTAACTATATTTGGTTCAAGGAATTTTGTAAGGTGAACATGTCTGGCTGTCAGTTATCATCTGACCATTATCTCATTTCCAGGTTAAGTCTGTTTCTTGGTTACTATAAACAATTTGTGAACTGCATTTGGTGCATGGAATGATTGTAAGGTGTAGATATCTGTCCTGCAGGTTTTATTCGACCTTTAATTGAGCTCATGTTTTATGATTCATTGGTCAATGTTTAAGTTTTCGTGGTTTGGTCTGTCTCTTTGATACGATATGCAGCAGGTCAGCTATATTGATAATGAACATATCTGTTGTCTGTCTAGCCGGGTCCGTTTGACCTCGACCTCATTTCAATGGATCATTGATAATGTTAAGTTTATGTGATACTTATAGTGAAACTCTTATTTATCTTGAAAGACTTTCAGCATAAGTGAATTATGATCAGGAAAGCAGGCGAGGAGACACCTTAGCGTGGATACTCTTGTTTCAATCTAAACATCATTTCACTGTGATTGCTTAAATACTATTACAAGCATGGAGATGAAATATGGTGTAGTTTATTCTTCTCTTAGAATAATTGTAGGTAATAAAACTTTCCAATCCTATTGCTCGAAATGTAGTTTATTTTAGAGAAAAGCTGGATCATTCTGTGTATGTATGCATATTATCCAAAGCAAGAGTAAAGCAGCGGATTGATGCTACTTGTGTAAGTGAACAGTTTTGTACATTTACCAACACAAGAATGTCTTCCATACCATTGAAATAATTAATTTAAGATTTTTAAATATTCTTGTCGCTGTTTTTTTTTAATAACTGTGAAGAACAATTCAAATACCAACCTTCTTGTTTTCAATTGTCAGATGTTTTCCAGGAGAAACAATATGTTGTTTGTTTTTACGAGGAGAATATGAATCCCTAGAATATACTTGTACACTGAGGCCATGATTAGCAGTGAGAACTGGTATCGACTCGGATGGTTCTGAGTTCAAAATCAATGATAATGTATCTGTAAATGAATATAAATATTTTGATATTTATTTGTACATGAAACTGGTGAGTCTATATCTCCCATGTTCTTACATCTTATTGCCCCGGCTGCCCATGCATCCTATGACCAATTTGTCTAACAATACCATCGAATAGGTTTACCGATTTCTAAGTTTTTTTGTGTGGGGATTTGAAATAGCTAAACACGCGGCTAAATTTTGAATAGAAGGGCAAAGTTTGAACGGGGTCATTAAAATCAGATGAATGTGGCGGTTTTTCATCTAGATATAACCAGTTTGATGATGAGTTGTGGAAAAAAGAAAATATAATAACGCGAAATGTCAAATTACGAAAAGTTTGCGAAACAAAGCAAAGATAAGAAAAAAATAATTTTGTGCTAATACGCTTCCATACAATGTCCACATAGCACTACATAGCACGCTTAAAGTTGAGCAACAATAAACTGAACAATTAAAATACAGATTTGAAATTTATACCGTTCTTGCTCCTATATTTGCACCCGATCCCGTCATGCAACACGAGAAGTAAAACTCCAGTGATAATAAGTCATGAAAAAAAAAGGATGACAGCATTTTGGCTACGACAAATTGAACATTATTGTATTCTAGTTAAATTCAAATCAGACATGCTAAAATGTGATATCAATTTAAACACATTCTTATCTGCAATCTGAAAATGAATATTATGGGTACTCCAAACATTCTTATTTTACACCGATTCATGGTCAAATCTAATTGTTAGGCGTTCCTTATATCTAAATGCACTAGTTTTAATTTTGTTCTTTCATCATTATAAATATCCATTAAGCATTCAAAATAATCAATAGCAATAAAAGGTTTCTTATAAATATTGAAGTAATATAAGAGATTGTTTCCAAGGAATACACATTGTTCATACCTATGTTATCAGAAACATTAAAGGTAGCGCAGTTCCCAAGGTTTGTTCGAGTGTCCTCTGTTACACTGAAAGTAAACAAAAGTTCAATGGTCAAGAAGAATAAAAATGTTTTTGGCGAAGCATGCGGTAGATGTAACGTAACAGTATAACATTTCTGATATCGCTTACTCTTTGAGCCATGAAATTCAAACAATACTTCCGTGAGGTTTAACATAAGAAACCTTTAAGATGCAAATAGGGAAAGAAAGAAAACAATAACTGTACTTAGATTACCTTGTATGTGTCTATATTTTATGAGGGTCTGGATTGTGGGGGTCCTTCATTCCTGTATTTTAAAATTTTTATGTCATTTTCTCTTTTCTTTTTACTTTTTGGCCATTATTCTGTTCTTTTTTTCTAGCACCCCGTGAGTCTCCGTTCTTTATTTTTTGCCTAATTCTCTCGATTTTTTTTGGCCCATTTTTCTGTAGATTTGACCCATCATTCCCTATTCTGTTAACCCCATCAACACCCTCTTTTATGAAATGTTGTCATAAATGACATTTTCACTGAGACCAGTTTTGACGCTTAAGCAATGAAATTCATGGCGTTAATGATCATTAATGTTGCTTAGTTAGAATAATGATGTTTTGTTTTTTTTTCGTTTTTCAAGGCTGTTTCAGTCAGATCGCAATTCGATAATATCAAATAAAAATTAAACGAAGTGCTTAATGTTTCAAAAAAAAAATATGATAAAACATTGATCTCATTGATATTTTCACGAAAGTATTCGAATATTAATTACTTGGTGTAATTAAATCCTTTTAGGTGATTGTTTAACAAACATGTAAAGTGCGTGCGATGAGATTTTGTGTTCACTTTTTCACCATTCTGATTATGGAATAACTTTCTGAAGACAAGAAAAGCACTGAACTGAAGATTGTTCGCTAGATTTCATATTTAAATGACAATATATTTAAAAAAAAAAGTAAATGCACTTTGAACAATGATTGTGCATAATTGAAAATTAATGTTAACATTGATTGATTTTAATAGATAAATTCGCAGAACAAACCATTATTGTTAAATTGATGTAACTCAACCTTTTTGATAAAAAAATGCAATATGCAGATAATTTAATATTTCATTGAATGGTTGTGAAATCTCAGGTCCTAATAACTGTACGTTTTGAATAGAAATTCGTCAAGGCGATACCAGAATAACTTTAAACCGTTTTATAATAATCATATATAAACGGTTGGCAATTAAAAATATTACATATCTTAAATTACTGAATACAAAAGTGCATGTTGTACTTTAAATTTAATATTTTATTATTTTGAACACAATCGTGATTTTTATTTCACCCTTTCAATCAACAGTACAATGGACACTTGTCTTGAACATTCTGCTTTGTAATGTATTACAAGGGTATATGGGAAGGCGTTAGAATAATTAGGAAATCGTATACCATTAAATTCGTTTGTGCTTGCAAGCGCAGACTGTCTCACTGTTTCACAATTTATGATGATTCAGCGTAACCCGAATAATCCAGCCCCTCCCCGTGATCTTCTCTCCTACTCGTTAATGCAACAATCGTAGATTAGATTAGCGGATTATAACCACTGAATTATTCGAGTTTAACATACCTGCCAACTTTTCAAAATCTCCATGGGGGATTTTAAGCGCAAGAGGACTTAATGCTCCTCTTATATTGTCATAATTTTTTTCATCTACTTCTACATTGTTTGGATGAGTATGTATGTGATTAAATACCCTTTTAACTCATTTGAATGCCTGTTTTGAGGTGTTCAGTAAGATTCTGTCGCCAGTAAACTCAATAATTTATTAGCGACCATCGAAGCGCCAAAATTCACAGTAGTGGCCACAATTCGATAGATTTATTACGTTTTTAAAATCAAATCATGGAAGTACTGCCATTAAAAAATATAGATGGTTGAATTAAACATAGTTTGCAATAGTAATCAAATTACGATTCCAGACTTTATCTACATTAAAACTTTAGACTAGAAATGCAAATTCTTCAATAAAAGAGCTGCTCTTAAGTAAACATTAAATAGAATTAACTTTATTGTATTTGCATACAAAGAAATCACTTAATGCTGTTGCTCGTGTCTTTCTTAAATTGTATGCTATTTATCCGTATAAACTTTGAAGAATTCGTGGGAACTTTAAAATCTAAACGTTCTCTTGCATGCGTAGTAATTGAAAAAGGGTATCCATTCAACACGCCCTTTTTTGCTTTAATTATTAGGTATGTATATCAGCGAGTTTTGATATGATTGTAATATTATTATTGTGCCAGAAAATCTGGGACTATTATACTAACATGAGTGAAAAATGATGAAACATTTACAAAATATACTCAGTTCATTTCTCCATACCAATTTTGAAAGTACCCATTTCAACAATGAGCTGGAAGTGAAGATAGTGAACCGAGTAATGTAGGTCAAAACACAGACTATACCAATTTTGATCATCCATATCAAACTTAATGGTTGCTTTAAAACAATTGCGGTTGACATATATATTCTTCGTTGAAATGCCAATTTTGTTTACAAAAGGAGAGTATAATTCTTGTTTTTAAATTAGTTTTTCTTTAAGAACAATGAATACCCATCGGCAAAAACAAACAAGTCATGATCAAGATATGATAAATGTAATATATCTGTAATGAATATTACATTTTTTTAAAATGTTAATCCTTTGATCCCCAAGGTAATTTTCAGATGTTAAAATATTACCTAACAATGTATTATAATTTATTGCCCAACAGCGATCGGAAGTCTTGATCTGAGCTGATTCCAGGAGACGTAGACATTTCAAATAGAATATGGATGAACTTTATAATGAATCATTTGTAAGCACACAAGAAATTTGTTAAAGGTACTATAATCGCAGCTGGAGGTAACGCTCTCGTAAAACAAAAGACGATAAAATTTAATGTTTTTCAATGAAAACTTCATAAAATATGACTTAAAATTTAATTACGAAATAAAAAAGTAATTGGATTTTCAGTAGGAAATCAATATCCGAAGCATCTCTTAATAGCTGTTGCTTTGACACCGGTAAGAAAGGTGATTGATGTTCAGTAAACATGTCTAGAAAAATATTATTCGATTATTCCTGTCACAAATTAAAAACAACTTTTAACAAATTGCGTATTTATTCATTTCAATAATAACATACGGGAAACTTAAAACATACGGGAAAAGAAATAATGAATAGTTACATACAGAACAACTGTTTCTCGGATTTTATTGTCTTGATAGACAAATAAAGCAATGACATATTATAAAATTTAACCAATGCTCGTAAATTTAAAATACATGTAATGATTACCAAGACATGGACTAAGAAGATGTTTGCTAACTCAGCAATGAGATATGTCCACGACTTCACCCATACTCGCCAAGTGACCAAATTTACCAAGTTTCATTACGACTTTAAATTTCTAAAACTTCGGAACACATGTGCCTTGGTTGATTGTGAAGTACATGAATTATGCTAGTCTTTTACAGCTCGTTGTGCAGTAAGGCCGGGTTTTGCTCACTGTTGAATGCCGTACGTTGATCTATAGTTGCTTTAACTTCTACATCATTTGGTCTCTGGTGGGAAGTTGGCTCATTGGCAATCATACCACATCTTGTTATTTCTATATTAATGGTTAGTTTAGGGACTTATGTTAGGTAAACGATGGGTCTAGTTCGAGTAGGAAAATGTATCCATGGCTTATTTTCTGTAAATGTCCCGATGATTAAATTAAGTGTTGCAGAAATTAGTGTACATAATTTTTTAGATGTAATTACCTCAGTTGACAAAGTCCACCGGTGCCTGTAAAACATTCTACTATCATATCAGATGGTTTGTGTCCTATAAGTTTAAATTCCGACAACGTGGGTCTTACAGCTTCTGCCCATACTCCAAAACCATATTTCATACTAGCTCCATATAAACTTCCCCAGTCATCGGATGTCATCATTCCTGAGAATGGAAGAAAATCTTGGTCCAACTGTGATGTATATGCAAGGACTCCAGACCCTAACGAGTTTTTCATTATAGACCAAATATCGGAGTTTTTCATAAGCTGCTCCGTGGACGATACGGGCTGAGGGTTAAAAACCCCTGAACTAACATTTAGAAGTTTTGAAAATCTGCCTCGATTTGCTGATAGACTGGATTTTCTAAATAAATTCAAATTACATACAGACACAATTGAAGCCGGATGCTTTTTATAAGATGTTGATGACATTTTAAGCTCCAAATGATTATTCTGGTCCAAATAACTGTTAACGGTCAAATAAAGAAGAAATGAAAGCGCGCCACATGCAATTACTGTTAACAAAACCCACACAACACATTCTAAACTGTTCCGAACAGAACCAGCAAAATGTATTCCATGAATATCTAAAGCACGGAACCAATACTGAACTGAGTTTTTTCTTTTACTTTGATCCGACTTTTCAGCTAAAGATTTCCAACAGTCTTTATCCATTTTTTCTTTCATTTTCTTGTCCCGTTGTCGCTGTTTATCACTATCCGTTAGAGAAGTAAAGTATCTTTCACATCTCTCTTGCCAATTGCTACCTTCGTCATCCATATTTTATGAAGTTATGTATATTTTTATGAAATCTCATATTACGGATTATATGCTGTAACTGAAAGAATATTGGATTTCACTAATCCGTCTAAGACTTTAACTTCAACTGAACTCGGAATTACTTCACAATTAATTGTTAGCTTTTGAAATTATGAAGCATTGTATATCAAAAAATAAATCTGGTTACTACTCCACGGATTGTTGATTTTAAATGTATTTAATAAATCATATGATATAATATTTAAAAAAGATAACTGGACATGGCCGCAGGAATTAATATGACTTTTATCCTAAAGGTGTGCGTTAAAACATTATCCTTTTATGCAATCATACCGATTAAATCGAATTCAAATTAATATAGATCATTTGAAGTTTAGACTTTTAAAACGTAGGACCACCACCTTAAAATCAATACAAAAGAGGATGTAGTATTCATTAACGGATTTTTACATTTCTCAACACACCATTTCATAAATTTAAATGGGTTGATATGCATGAAGATTTTTATTGATAATTTGTGAATGGTTAACAGAATAGTTAAAAACAAAACAAAATGTTATTGATATACTAGCCATAATAAGAAACGATACATATTTTAAAGTATTTCTTTTCTCGAGGGTTCAAATACAAACACCTGCTGCAATTCTGTTGGAAATGAAACACAATTTAACAACCCTCCCCCTAAAAAAAGACGTATAAGAAATGATTACGAATATTCGGGTTTTGGTGGGGTTCGTGTTGCTTAGTCTTTAGTTTTCTATGTTGTGTTTTGTGTACTGTTTTTGTCTTTTGTCGTATTTCGTTTTTTGCCACGGAATTGTCTCTTTGTTTTTGACTTATGACTTTGAATGTCCCTTTGGTATTCTTGGTCTCTCTTTTTCCGACGACATGAGTATTAGCAAAGTCAAAGATATTAGGAAAGACACGTTGGTCGTTTTGCATACTGATTTAACCAAACCACATTTTGTGCTTGTACCAAGTCATGATATTTAGACCATGTGTTGTAAGTTGTTTTCGTCTTTGTTTGCAAATCGTTGTTTTTAGTAGTTGGATGTTTATTTGTCAGTCTGGTGCACTTTCCAATATTTGTGGTGATTCATGTTATTCTTTTTATGAATTATTTTGGAAATTAAAATTGTCACCTTTAAGTTTTATACACATGATGATTTCGCTGCAGAAGTGTCTACCTCGACATCTGCACATTAAAGACAACCGACCCTTATAATTCTAATGGATCGTAGATGACGGTTCTATTTCTAACCCGACTAATTCGTCCTTGTTTTGACAATATCATTCACAACTAGATTTGCAATTGCGAGCAATAGCGGATGACACCCTCGTCCCCTATTGCCAGGATAACGGCAGCCATTTTGAAAATTCCAAATGCAAAAAGCGCATCTACACATGCCACTTAACATTTTTGTAAAATTTTATTTAGGTTGGAGCATTTTGAAATTTTTGAAATTTTTTTTTCTCGCATTTTTGCTGTTTCCATAGAAACGGTGGCCATCTTGAACCGTTCCATAGCAAGGTGCACAACTTTACATGGGGGTCCTCATTATAGTATAGTTCCATCATTATTGGTCCATTAAAATGTGTGGAAGAAAAATGAAAAATGAAAATAAGAAAAAAAGAGAAACGTAAAATAACAATACGTCACCGACATTTGGGAACTTGCATAAATTATTTTCCACTTAACGTTGACTTAACTGTCAACAATTAATCAATCAAAAAATTTGGCCAATATGTAACTAGTTTTTAATTAAATGGTTACGGCAGCCATTTTGAAAATTTCAAAGTCAAACTGCAACTCAACACATGCCAGTCACCATTTCTGTAAAGTTTAATTCAGTTTAGAACACTTTGATTTTATTTCGCATTTTTGCTGTTTCCATAGAAACGGTGGCTATCTTGAACCATTCCATAGCAAGTTGCACAACTTTACATGGGGGTCCTCATTATAGTATAGTTCCATCAACATTAGTCCATTAAATTCCGAGAACTAGCGCGGACAAAATGTGTGGAAGAAAAATGAAAATAAGAAAAAAAAAGAAACGTAGAATAACAATACGTCACCGACATTTAAGAACTTGCATACATTATTTTCCACTTAACGTTGACTTAACTTTCAACAATCAATCAATCAAAACTCTACTTATGAGGAAACATATTTTGGCCAATATGTAACTAGTTTTTGATTAATATTTTCAAACCGATCAGCATTGAATTGAAGACAAATTAAATATTTTAGCTCAAAAAAAAAGTGCTGTATAAGTCATGGCCTCGTCTTTTTACAATTCTCAGCCAAAAATGTAATATTAAGTGGAGGTCATTGTGTTATGTTTCAACTAGATGACATGGAAATCGGAATGACACCATCAGCTTTTCCAGTGACAATGTATTGTCTTCAGCTACATGGATTTCGTCTTCCTAAAGTATGTCCAACATAATTTAGGTGTATCCTTTCTTTTGTTTCCGAGTGTAGTTGGATAAAATAACTTGGAATAAAAAGCGGGTCGATCCCTAAAGTGTACTCTAAAACAATTAAGTTTATCATGAAATCGCTTGTCAGAATATTTGAAATTGAATACCATTCACTAATAGGACATAATGAGAGTTTCAAATTTCTACAATACAAAACATCTACAGACTATGAAATGACTATAAAGTGAAAACAAAAGATTGGTATCGTAACACATTATCTTAACATGACAGTTTGGTATTCTCGCGTACGAAAGAGTTCACAAAGAACAATTATAGCATTGTTTAGATGCCTTATATATAGAACTGAAATAATGGAATTGCTATGATAAGCAGTTTTTATTGACGTATTTGGCGTTTCAAACTTTTGGTTTCGAGCCTATCTGATAAATTTGTTCCAGAAACAGGTGGCGTGTATACTGAAGTCTTTTTCTGCATGACATCGTAAATCTTATCTGGATTTAAGATATTAAACAGTTTCGAACAAAAAGAAATACTGTTTTTACGCAATAGCCATCAATATATTCACTTAAAAGGATTGATTGATTGATGTTTGCTTAACGTCCAGTGACAAATAGTTCATGCATGTTCAGGACAAGTACAAATAAACAATAGCCATAATAGGTATGTCCTGCAATAGGTGTCGACCGGGATGACGGGAGGGACATTAGAATTACCACCGGAAAATGAGGATATATTGGATAGACTGAAATTTATCATGGCACTGGCAGGTAACCTACGGAACCACCAACGAGTTGTTGCAAGGGTTCGAAACGGACATAGAGCGTGGAATTACCTCTACAATTAAGAGGCGTCGAATTTTTTTAATGTCCCTATTCTGACCTACGTTGCTGCGAATTTATACATCCCGTACAGCTAAACGGATGCCGCACTTTGGCAATGAAAGAAGACCAAGAGATGACAATATTTCTATACTCCAGTCACTTGAAATTGAAGGATGGGTTTGTGAATTTGAGCCACTGAACATGGTTTTCATGCAAAATATATCATTATATAGATTCTCAAATATGAATTACCATGTTCGTTATCTATTCAAAAATGTCGTCAGTCTGCAAATGTTTGAATATCTGTTTGTTCATACTTCCAAAATGGTCATTTGATATTTCATGTATATCTAATTATAACAGTTTTCTCGATTTTACAAATCGAATACTCTGACCGAGCAACCTCCATAAAAACCAAACCATTTATAACATATAAGATTAAGAAATGCAAAATATTAGATACACTTTTTTATTAAAATTAATCAGTTGTGTCTTTATGAATAAAATATTCAACAACTGCAAAATGTGTTCATGTGTTTGAGGTAAAATTTTTAAATTTTGCATTTTTACTACAAATGTAAGACAATTTGAATGTTACAAATAGTGTTTGCTGTGTTCGACGCTTATTTCTGAATTAAAAACCTTCACCAGAACGTTCGTAGCCATAAGTTGGAACTGCCAAAGTAGGATAAGTACTTGAGGATCTATGTCCAATTATTCCACCAGAAGAAACAGTTTTAGCAATAGTATCCCAAAAACGATCAAAGGTAAATTTTGCCCAAGGGAGCTGCATTTATTTTGGAAGGTGGCAGAAATAGCCCAATTACTCTGAAAATTGGTATAATTTTACTTTGATAATCAACATAATTTTCAGACTTAACAACATTCGTTTACACTGCGGTCTAGTCATCAATTGGAAAAGGAACAAGCATGAACTTCAAAGTAAAATGCTGACGAAATGTAAGGTACCAAATAATTCTTGCTGGCAGCTTTCAAGATTGTGTGCAAAAAAAAAATGATATTTTGATATAGTCTTCATTTCTAATATGTTTTGCATGTAAACAAAAAGAGAAATGAATAAATGTCAGAAACTTCTAACTAAACACGTGGCAACCGAAAAAGAACATCCAGAGGCAGCCATTCAGCAACAGCAGCGAACAAGTGCGCATATTGTATTACACACGCTAAATAGCCAGTCTTAATGAGTTTATAATAAATTAAGCTGAGGTAACCGAATATCGTGGAAAAAAGTATCGAATTCTGCAACGTTGACATTCAATAAAACATAGACATATACTACCACTGTCCCATCATTCCTAATTTGCGGATAACCCCTTCCTCAAAATGTAAAAATATAAAGGTGTTCGGTATTTTCTTCTTCAAAGAAATCCCCAGAAGAACATAAAAAAAACTAAAAGTAAGACCATCTCTTTTATTAGCCCTCAAAAAAGTCCACTTGTCAACTACCCACAAACTGCCAACTATGTCTTCACCTACCCGATGCTTTGGCTAGGCACATAAATTAGATTTGTTGGTACTCAAGAAACCCAGGCCCTTACTTCAGGATTATTTTGTGCATATAAACAAGAAATTTAAAGTACAACAAAGAGAAAGCTGAAAACAATGTTCTGGAACGCATGAGTTTTGATAGAACTGTTATAATTATGGGAAACAGAAAATGCTCAAAAGCAATACTTCAGATTGATAAATCAAAGTTCTTATGAGCACTGAAGGGTAAATATTGTCTTCGTTTCACAGTTGAAACTAAAAATTAAACAGTGCATGTTAACTACATAATGGGCAAAGGAAAATAACTCCAATATTAATCTTTAACAATTACATAATTGATATTTTAGAACTGATACTAAATTCAATGCAACATGCACAGTTTATGTAACTATCTTGACACCTATTAAAACGTTTAAACCTGCTGCATTTGTTTGCACCTGTCCTAAATCAGGAACCTGATGTTCAGTGGTTGTCGTTTGTTGATGTGGTTCGCACTAGTCATTTTTGGGGCCCTTTATAGCTTGCTGTTCGGTGTGAGCCTAGGCTCCGTGTTGAAGGCCGTACTTTGACCTATAATGGTTTACTTTTACAAATTGTGATTTGGATGGAGAGTTGTCTCATTGGCACTCATGCCACATCTTCTTATATCTACGTAAGGTAATAC